CATAGAGAGGTGACCAGGGATATCAACGGTGACAAACGAAGCTGCTAACCAATAGAAACCAGAAGCCCTGAAATCAGGTACGCCGTTCGAGTTGTTGACGACATCGAAGTTAAGAGTGACTGGCCTGGCGTAGGGGGTATACGCTGGGGGACGATCCATGTTACGTCCCTGAACAACATTGCCTTCACAATCAGCGACCAAGAGGGCAGTGCACTCGTTATTGTCTTCGGCAGTAGTGCTTGATGAATCAGGATATTCGATGTGCTCCATCTCAATTGCATACAACCAAGCCGAGAGATAAGGATAGCTCACGTAATGGCCTTGAGTACCGAACTCTTCCGATATGCCCCTGAGCTCACGAGCCTGCGTAGGGAAGAACTTATCAGCAGCATCAGCCAGAGTATCATAGTCTTCGTCTTGAAGCTTCTCCTTGCCGAATACGGTAGCATTGAATTCGCGGAATAGGGGCTCAAATGTATCCTCGTAAGCATACTCCTTGAGGACAGCTCTCACTGCTGGTTTGAAGTGCTCCTCGGGGGGTTCAGACATATCAATGGTTACCGTGGGAGGTTCCGGCGGTAATTGACCATCTCCCTCAGCAGCAGATATAGCGGACATGACCCCAAGAGGTGAACTGCCCAACAAGAATAGATATAAGGCTGCGATGAAGGTGGAAGTCGATCTCGTGACGAAGGTCATTGGGAAAGGTATCGATGAAACTAAATAAATGACGGATGATCCTCGAGTTCCGATTGTGAATCTGCATACTAAAAGTCTGAGACACATAGTCTTTGCTATATACCGGACCTGGCAGCAGCTAAAATAACAGCTTGTAAGGGGCAAACGTTCCACAGTTCTGTGTGTCTAGTGTCCCTCCTATGATGGTGGGCATGCAACCCACGGAGCTCTGGAATCCAGAGTCTGGATCTAATCGTAGCGGAGGCACTTTCCGTGTTGTTTGCCTTCAACTCTCCCCGATTGCCCTATTGAGTTTTTATCTGGAAGGCGAGCCACTATTCGTCATAGTCTAATCATTAGACTCTAATGAAATTAAAGCCGCCATCGGAGTTGATGATGCTGCTCATCAGAGAGTCGGATGCCTCGACCGGGGATGCCTACACCACGTACAATCGTTCGAGTGCATCACGGCCGGGGCCCCAGCAACACGTTCGGTCCTATTCCGACTCGACTTGGATCGAAGGCTCTTCCTATCATTGCTAAAGTCGGACCGGGGCGCCGTTTCTGGCATGCTGGACTATGGCATAAAGTCATCTATTCCTGGTCGTGAGAATCTCCTTAGCGCATCGGGGACGGTGTCCAATGATTGCAGAGGAATCGATCTTCAATTCCTCTCAGATTGCACATACTAGCCGACTACCACGTATTCACGAAGGAGTACAGCGAAACGATCGATTGTGTGGATATCTTCATTGAATTCTGTGCAAGCTTTTCCTCGGTTGATGGGTGCTCAGAAGATAATGAGTTTTCTCGACAGGCTCAGATCAGTTGGTCTCTTTGCTTCCGTGAATAGTAGTAGATGCATCCAACGCTATGTGGTTCGTTAGTGGCGTCATCAGATTCGTGCATTTTAACACTTCACTCTGGACACTGTGAGAAAGCGATGTCTTGTCATGATCGCCACCCTGGCCCTATAGAAGGACGGTCACTGTGACTGGATTGTTGACAACAACTTGTTGTTCTCAACGGTCCCTTGTCGGACCCATCGGTCTCTCTCGTGAGTTTAATCACCTACACCGGGGTAAGTTGTGCGTTCGCGACATTCGCTATGCTGACTATCAGCTCCAGCCGAGAGGCTTTCCGCTGTGGGTGCTCGAGATCGAAACAGACTGAAGGCTCCCTAGTAGGGAGTCATTTATTTTAACATCTTATCTCGGGACGAGAGCCTCCTAGGAGTTCACGTATCTCCAGTTCATCCTGTCGAACTCCGAATCGACTGCCACTCCCGAACTGAAACTCAAGGACGATTATATGATATAATTTATACGGCGCGTTGTTATCACGTCGCTGTATTTACCGAAGTAGTGCGCTCCTTCCACGAGCACCTGGTTGCTCTTACTCGCGGAGCGAGCGGAGATATATACTTCGATCCGGGTCATTCCGACCGTGCATGTGTACGAACTGATGGTAGCATTCAGTCGTCCATGCCTGCTTACTTTTGTCATAACAGGTGCATCCTGCAATGGTCACGAACAGTCATGAACAGCGTTGTGTTACTCGCCACGGTTAATGAATCCAACCAGTGAGAGATTCGGGCATACAGCACAATTTTGCGATACTCACTGGTGATTACAAACTTCAAAGCGCAGGAGATGTGTTTTGCAAGATATTTCCTCAACAAATCTAGAGTTTCCCATACAATGTACCATAATCATCATTGTCCCATGTATTAAGAACTCGGCAAAGGATAATTGATCGAAAAAGTACTGCCTATTAGCAGCACTTGAGTAGATGTACTCCTCTAATAGGAGTGAGTATGAATCCAGTAGTATTTATGGAGTGCACAACACCCATGAGTATATCTGAAGGCATGGACGACAAGAGTCGTCTTGAGAAATGGCGGACACAATTATATCACGAATGGCATCATATATCACTGATGGTTTTTGTTCCAAGCATCATCAGCATCATAACGAATATAGGTGGAGAAGTCACCATATGTGGGATCCATAATGGAGGTATAAATAGTGTGATTCGTAGAGACTCCGCTTAAAAAGGAGCAATCCATGACAACATCCCAGGTAGACTTTATATCATTAGTCTTACCATGCTCCTTCACACAGTTCTCAGCAACAGTACGTCTAGGATCAGAAATCGGATCGGCCTCCCAGCGATCGTAGTTGGTCTGCACCAAATACCAATTATCGGCCTCGCTGTAATCACCAGTCTGATTGTTCAAATATGCAGGCTCGTGTACCTCACCGTTCTGGTCAATGGCCAAACCATCTTCATCACGAGTAAGAACTACAGCTTTGAACTCATCACCAGTCCCAGCCATCGATAGGTACGCTGGAACAGCCATCGGACATTTGCTGAGGTACTCCACGGCAGGCTCAAAGTCGATAATACCCTGTTCAAAGATCATCTCATTGAACGTCTGAAGCGCAGAAGCTCTCCCTTCTTCGATATACTCGAATATATCCTGCTTGGTCGGAGTCTCTCTGTAAGTGGGATAATATCTGTAGTTAGCTTGCATAGAGAGGTGACCAGGGATATCAACGGTGACAAACGAAGCTGCTAACCAATAGAAACCAGAAGCCTTGAAATCAGGTACGCCGTTCGAGTTGTTGACGACATCGAAGTTAAGAGTGACTGGCCTGGCGTAGGGGGTATACGCTGGGGGACGATCCATGTTACGTCCCTGAACAACATTGCCTTCACAATCAGCGACCAAGAGGGCAGTGCACTCGTTATTGTCTTCGGCAGTAGTGCTTGATGAATCAGGATATTCGATGTGCTCCATCTCAATTGCATACAACCAAGCCGAGAGATAAGGATAGCTCACGTAATGGCCTTGAGTACCGAACTCTTCCGATATGCCCCTGAGCTCACGAGCCTGCGTAGGAAAGAACTTATCAGCAGCATCAGCCAGAGTATCATAGTCTTCGTCTTGAAGCTTCTCCTTGCCGAATACGGTAGCATTGAATTCGCGGAATAGGGGCTCAAATGTATCCTCGTAAGCATACTCCTTGAGGACAGCTCTCACTGCTGGTTTGAAATGCTCCTCGGGGGGTTCAGACATATCAATGGTTACCGTGGGAGGTTCCGGTGGTAATTGACCATCTCCCTCAGCAGCAGATATAGCGGACATGACCCCACGAGGTGAACTGCCCAACAAGAATAGATATAAGGCAGCGATGAAGGTGGAACTCGATTTCGTGACGAAGGTCATTAGAAAAAGGTATCGATAAAACTAAATAAATAACGGATGATCCTCGAGTTCCGATTGTGAATTTGCATACTAGAAGTCTGAGACACTTAGTCTATGTTATGTGCCGGACCTAGCAGTAGCTAAAATAACAGCTGATAGAGGACAGAAATGTCACAGTTCTGTGTGCCTAGTGTCCCTCCTATGATGGTGGGCATGCAACCCACGAAGCTTTGGATCTAATCGCAACGGAGTCGCTTTCCGTGTTGTTTGCCTCCACCTTTTCTCAATTGCGCTATTGAGTTTTTATCTACAAGGCGAGCAAGTGTTTGTTATGGTCTTATGAAAAATTTTCATTGAAAATGCAGCCGCCATCGGAGTTGATGATGCTGCTCATCAGAGAGTCGGATGCCTCGACCGGGGATGCCTACACCACGTACAATCGTTCGAGTGCATCACGGCCGGGGCCCCAGCAAGACGTTCGATTCTATTCCGACTCGACTTGGATCGAAGGCGAGCCATTGCTCTTCCAGAGCGCGAGAAAATATCTCTCTCTTTTCTATGCGCTGGAGCCGCTCTACGGATAGCATCGTCTTTCCTATGGGCGGGAGAGACAGAAAGGGAGGCTGTATGTGACACAAGCGCATCTTCTGAGCTGTACCTCCTCACTCCTGGGAAAATGAGGGAATTCACTAATCAAGTGCTGCTCAAAGATAGTACTGCTTCGCCAGATTGCTCCTCGACAAGTTCTCAACTGTCAATACACAGGATACACATGATGACAGTTCATCAATGATGATGTTTAGTAATAGATAATGATTCAATCGATCATCATGTAGGAAACTTGCCTTGCCGCTTTGAAGCGCGCAATGAGAACTTGATCAACTAGCTTATACTATACCTTTCAGAAATTGATTCCGCGATTAAGGGCGCCAATTCAGCGGATAAGGAAATCAATGATTCAGGGAAGCCGACCGCCTGAAGAACATGGGACATTGCACAAATATCAGACTGGCCGACCTCCGTTGCGTCGTCATCGACATGTAACGGGTTGTGGTCTCCACCGGGGTAGTACGTTTGGAAACGCCCTAATGCTGAGGGAGACCGAATCGCAACGTAACATGGATGAAAATGGGATGCATGTGATGTCTGAATTTCCCTTGTTCGCCGGGCATCGTAAGACATCAATAGCAATCTTTAACGGTTGCTCAGCTCATTGTAAGCCTTCAGCCCAATATGGAACACCGAATCGCCCAGTCGAGCGCTTACGAAAGACGAAAGCGAGGCTTACGAAATTGAGGAGAAGGACAATTCAGGGAGCCCTACTTCTCCCCCGTGTTCTTATCCATAATGGTGGGCTCCGAGACCACGCATCACGGAATCCGAGACCTTCATACACGAACCTTGGACATCCTTACAGGGTGAAATACGGCGAACCTCCCCCGGACCGTTTCTGCGAGGCTACCGTGGCCATGCGCCGCCATACCTAAGTGCCCGCCGAGTTTAGCAACGACTTCGGTAGTTTCAGCAATCTTCAGCCAACCAACACCGGACCTGCCTTGAGCTAGAGCGTAAGAGGCATGAGAACTACCGAGTCAGGAGTTCGATCCGAGACTCGAACTCCCACTTCCAGTCCATGACAAGTGACGTATTAAATGTCATTTCTCACGAGGAAATTGTCCTCGTGTAGGAGTATAAAACCCCCGCTGGCACTCTAGAATGTTAGCGCCCAGAGAGAGTGGGACCGTCCATCCTGAGATCTTCCCCATCCGTACTCATCTTTTTGCCGTCCTTAACACTCCACAGATGAGCTCTTCGGCAGATTCATGACCGAAGCCTTTGGTCCAAAGGCGTGGTTCTCAACCGGGTTTCCACTCACGGCATGCCGATATTTGAGACAGCGGGGCAACATATCTATGAGCAACATTAAGAAAGACCGAGCGTTCCGCTACTGTATGGGTTGAAACACAACAGAGAAGCATTGAGATTAGATCAAAGGCAAGTAACACTGCAATGATTCAAGAATGCTGTACTGTATGACTCAACCATGCTTCAGCCTGTGTGCCGAGACCCCAATCTGATAGTGACCGTGGAGGCTGATGCTTGCTACAGACCCTATGAGCTCAACCACTAGATGAGGGTCGTTGATAGTGCTGGGCGGGAGCATCTCGGACTGCACCCTGACCCAGTTCACCAATACTTGTATTTCATCACGATTGAGGACGAGACTTATGGTGTCTCCCGCTTCGAGACTCCGTGCCCACTGTTCGTCAGCCACATTACTGGCAGGTCGCAAAACACCATTCGCGAACACTCCAGAGCACTCGTAGCCGAGCATCACCGAGGACGGCAACTCCGATGCCATACTGCAACCGACAACCCCAACAGGATTGGAACAAATACCAATACCGAGACCTACTGAGCTCACCTCCGCTGCGATGCCCGTGCGGAGGGCCCTTATCACGCATTGCCAGACCCCGGAGCCGTCTGGCAACCGATATGGAGCAGTACCGGCAACAGCCCAAGAGGCCTCACCGTCGCCTTCAGCGTCTTTCGAGCTTATCATATGACCAACAATGAAAATGGAATTCCCCAATGGACTCGGCAACCACGAGGGGTCATAATTCTGCGGCATCTCGGTGCTGGTGGCTTCTATTGATGGCGGGGAGAATGCTGGAAGGGGCGGAGTAGTCTCCTCTGACTCTTGAGTCGTTCTAGCCAAGACCTGCGATGCTTGCAGTAGAGAAGGTAAACATCTTTGGTGGGAACTCCTAGGCGTATCAGACCTCAAGCTATCCCGATCGGTCTCATGAAGTTTAGCCGAGACAGCTTCTCGCATGTCTGGGGACGGACCAAGTGAGCCCACGGTCCGATTGGATTGAGCCTCCTTCCATCTGGTTCTCTCTCCGTCGCTCAGCTGTGATGATACTCCTATGCTTGAGACCTCGCTACCTGCAGATGTTTGTGACTGCACCAGTTCGGCGGTGCCCAGAGGTGCGCCTCTGCTTGCTGGGTGCCTTGCAGGAAGGTCCATATCATCCCGGAATCCAATCCGCGGAGCAACACCGACGGTGGCAGGTGACAGCATATCAGGTGACTCAATCACTCGCGCGGGATCGCGTGTAGCTTCCCTTGAGGACAGTAACGCTTCACGAGAAATCAACGCCGCTGATACAACTCCGGCAGCCGGTGCTGTCAGCTGCTCGGCAGCTCTCTCTAGAGCCAAGGTACTAAGTTCCTCATCACCGGAGTGAGAGCAGTCACTTGCGACCGAATCATGGCTCGTCACGACGGTATCACTTACCTTGGCCACTGTGACGCTCTTCTGTGATACCACTGAACCTAACGAGTTATCCATGCTAGACCACGACCCAGTCCTCTCTGCCTGTTTGGAAGGACGCTTCAGGAGCATGTCCACTATTTGAGACTTCCGAACTGCACTAACCACTGAAGTCGACGGTGCACGTTGGGACTGGCCACCCCGTTTCGCTTCATTCCTTGAGCTCTCCGATACTCTAGCTGACGCGTCACTCGATTGGGAGGAGATCGGTCCACTCTTCAAAGCATCGGTACTTGCTCGCCCGATCAGCGCATCGGCTTCTCCTGAGCTCCGAGCTCCCGACGAATATAGATTGGTCGGCTGTACAACATTGGCGTCGTGGTCCGTGAGACAGCCATTGACAACGTCCGAGGTTGGACTTGTTTCCAGTCGATCTTCATTCTTGGGGCTTGACGAAGAAATGTTATCTAGTCTATGCCGTACGTCATCACTTGGTAACTCGGCGTCTGATCGTCTAGGCTTCGAAATATCCACCTTCTCTGTCAGGCTTTCCAGCTCACTCATGGAGGATACGTCGGCTTGTGCCGCTTCTGGTGAGTTGCCAAAGCCACCGAAGGGAAACAGGGTCCGAAAATATGGCGAGAGCCTGGGTGAATCCGCCTCGGCGATAGCTCGAGGTCTGTCGGGCGCCTCCCCGGGGAGCAGTGGAACGGAATAGTCCAGCGACTCTAGTTCGCTATATATCTTGTCAATCAAGCTCTCTCCGTCGACTCTCGCCGAGTTTTGCGCGCTTGAAGAAGAACCAGTACACTCCGTCACTGGTGGCATTGGATCGCCGATTTCACCGCTGAGCCATGATTCGTAGTCCGTATCAGGATCGGCCTGGTGCTGAGAATCTACTTCCGGCTTGCGTGTGTTTGCAGTCTCGCTATGAGGGTGCGGTTCTTGGGATTCGTCTTCGATTTCCAAGGACTCATGTAAAGATAACGTCGAGAGGTAGCTGTCGACTTTCTGTCCGCTGGAAGAAGTCTTCTCATTGACGAACTTCCTGGCTGCCGTGTCATAGCGTCTAGTGCTTCCCTTGTCCAACAAGCTAGCCATGGAATCTTTCCCCCACGCTTCCAGTTCGGCTGCGAAGTCTTCTGCGAGACTTGACCTCCGGGACCAACTTGAATCAGGTCTGATAGTGATGGCTGTGACACTATCGCGTACTCGAGAGGGTCGGTGTTGCCTCGACTCATCCACTGAGGATCTCTCTCGTCTCTTAGGGTTGGCCCCACGCCGGGAAGGAGTCTGTGATCTCGAATCACGACGACTGACGGAAACCGAGCGTCTCAGCCTTGTTGGGGTGGACGCTCTACAACCAGCGTCCTCGCCCATGTAGAGCTTAGCACCAGCCAAGAGAGCTCGTGATGCAAGCCCTTCCGGATGGACTTGTGTCGACTGCTCCTCGAGAGATGCTCGTAAAAGTCTGACGGCGTCAGAGACCTTCAGCTTGCCAAGTGCTTGGAGAACGAGGATCACGACGTGCTGGCCGTGAAGGTTGAGGAACGAGCTGAAGACCGAGAGCGTTTTTCTGCAAAAACAATGATAGGATTACCGAGTGGCCATCAAGGCGCCTGGAGGTAGTCCGGAGGAGCGGAGCAATTCGGCGCGCACAGCCTCCCTGATCCTGACAAAGTTTCAAGTTCGCAAACTCTCCCCGTTGGGGCTCGTTCCAACTCACTCATAGGGGTCCCTAGGGCTATTCGGGCCAAGTCGTAAGATAAGCTGTAGCGTCACTGGTTTTCCGCCATGCTTGTTCCGGTGAGATTCCGACTGAGGCCGGAGGGTTGCACCGGCTAGGAGAGCTTGCTGGGGCGAGCCAAATGTGTGCAGTTCAGGACCCTCGTCAAGAACAGCTACGATGCGTTCGAGTACTTCGATGGCGGAAAGCTTGCGAGAGTCTTGAATCGCGAGAGCAACCACCGGTCGCCCAACTACATCCCAGTGGAAGCTGAGGAAGGGGCCTCACCCCCAGGAAAGCATACGCTAGAAGCTTACCCTGAAACCTGCAGGGAACCCGCTGGCAGACTGGCTGCAGAGCTCAGAGTGGTCCGTACGAGTTCTTCGACACTGATATAGCAACATCAAAGCGAGGAGCATGGTTGGTGTCCATACCGTGCTGACGATATTCCCATGTCGAGGGATTGATTCAAGACAAGGTGTAGCTTGATTGTCGACTGTGAGTCGGTAATCTTAGGCTTCGGGAGCGATCGCCTCCTTGCTGCTGCCGATTTGGTAGACACCCGGCTGAGGGGCATGGATGGGCAGTTCCGTATGTAACCGAGCAGGGCAGAACCACAACAAGATTCACTCGTAAGATTCGAGGTCCAACACGAGCCACTCTTCGAAACCCGCAAAGTAGATCCCCATGGATTCCCGACAACCTCCTATGCGGGGCCTCCTAAGGTTGCTTACTCTGTCAATGAATCCTTGACCTCTGCGTTGGGAATAGGTGTCAGACGAGGCTTGGCTGGCGGGCCTGGCCATTCCGGTCTGAAGAATAATGGATGCGAACAAGAGTGGACCTGTAACGTTACAATGGCAAATCATCTGACAAACTCGATCTCCTTGCGGAGCACCCAGCCACTGTAGCGCGGCGACCAGTCCGATGATATGGCGGGACAATACTGGGTCTACTGCTAAAGGACATTCATTTTGAGGCCATGGAGCAGCTGCAAGTCTCGGGCCATGAACTTTGGTCCAGCAACACGCAACAGGTGGTTTTTGATAGGGACAGCACTGACGAAGCAGCAATGCTACAGAGAATTGCATGCCTGTTCACGTGTAGCTCAATTTGAATAGTCTTGTATCGGAGATTTGCCCATCGGATGTGGATATGAATAAGAAGCATTCAGCCTCCTTTTTAGTGTGGTCTCCTACCGGAGGGAAGAGGAGATCGATGTGAGACACCGTGAGCGGCGCCAACTTGAGATTTTTGGTCACAACCTGCAGCGAGTTGCTGATCCGATGATCGAATGTGGCTTAACTGACCTGTAGTATGTCGGGGTTTGAGCTACTCATCATGAATTCGGTTTGGCGCGTGAGAGGATTGCGGAAGGGGAGACGCTTCCTGCTTTGCTGCCCATACGTCAGAGTCAGGTCGTGAGTCTCAGTAACAGTAGGCGGCTCTGCCTGAATGTTAAGAACCCATCCAACTAGAGGGCGTCCCATCGCTGAAGCCTCTCCATCCTTGGCGACGAAGAATAGGCAGGTGCTCATGCCGCTAATAGAAGGCAGGATAGAGAGCGGAAGGTGGCATGGGCCGCACCGGGGAACTCGAATATGCGAGGGTTCAATCTCTGCAAGTGCTGAATTAGTTGAGTACGCGACTATAGACGATGCTCCATGGTGGAGCTGTGGTGGGAGTTTAATTGCCTTGTGGATGGGCTGACCAACAACGCCCTTCACGTAGTCACCAAATAGAGCATAGCAGATGATCCTCACGACCGACATCGGCCGCTCTCGGTAGATGTCGCTCCGTGTGTAGACCAAGCACACCGCCTCTCGAGGTCTCTCAATAGCACCAGGAGCCATGAGGGATATACATAGCTGCCTGGGCTGCTCATTAGCCCTGGTGACCGAAACACCCGAGTCATCGGGAGAAATGACCAAAGAGGCATCAGTCTCCACCTCCTTTGCTAGCGAGAGTGTTTTGCGGACCGCAGCCCCTTCGAGTTCCCAGCAGCGCGCTACTTGGTCGACCAGGAATCCAAGTGGCCCTGGGATCACCAGCTCGACAACTCTCGCGATTTCGCCACCACTTCGTCTGATGCTGATCTCGAATATCAAGTCAGCCTCGGACTCGATGAGCGACAAGAACCGGAAGGGGAGCTCCACCATCTGACCAGGGCGCAGCAGGAATTCTGCCGTAGCCGTGAAAAGCTCATAACCGCTGTTGGGCTCGGAGAACCCTCGTGACTTCACGATATATCGCCACTCTATAGGATCGGTGACCAAAGAGAGTCCACATGGCCGGGATCGCTCCACTGTCAAGTTGCTGTCGCCGCCGACTCGGCCCACCCGAACCGAGTATAGGGCTTCGACAGATAGGGGGTTCGTGAAAGGAACTGTGAAATAGCTCGCTTCACCCGAGATAGCTGGGAGGTAGCGCTTCTCCAACAAGGTCTCACGTATCCTCCTTTGGACGAGCTTAGACCGGGACCTCTCCCGCATGATTTCGAAGTGCTTAGTCGCGTCATGTGTGGTACCGGCGAGACCATCCGGCCACGGTAACCTGAGCGCCTTGACTCGAGCATTCTTCCGCCTGGCTGGTGACCGGGGCTGGCTCTCGCCTCCTGTACTGTCTACGTAGCCACCAGTACAGGATGGGACCAAAAAGGGATGTCTATGACCAAGATGTGCACAGTCTCGCGAGCCACGATTCTCGATCACAACGTGGAGCCAACCCAAGGGACTAGTCGCTTCCTGTGCATACGCCACACTGCTACAAGATACCTAGCCAAAATGGACCATTTTAAATGGTTCGGCCCGCAGAGGCTGATGAGCTTCACCTCTCTCTCAAATCGAGCCACCACACGATGCTGCCTCGGGAGACCGCCTAACGGTACCGAGGCAGTAGCCACCAGCATGCCGGTTTCGGCGCAATGCATTTCCAAATCTATGGCATGGCCATCTCGACCGGTTACTCGACGTAGCATGGTGAGTCGTGAAGGGCAGCAGCAGCTCCAGCGTGCGAACAGCCTATAGTGGACACGAGGTGCGAGACGCAACAACAACAACACTGAACGAAAAACAAGCCACTACTACAAGAGAGAGTTACCTCTGCCCAGTGCTCAAGGAGCTTAGCGCACTATGATACGTGTCGTAAGGGAGCTCGGCAACTTCCGTGTTCTGGGCCGGGAAAGTGTAGAACTTGGCTGAAAAATATACTCTCTTGCCGCCAGGCCGGCGGGAACCCTCAAGAGGTCTCCATCCCACAATAGCCAGGCTAATTTCATCGTTCACGAGTTCATCTTCTTCCTCGACTCGCCAATTCACAGCGGTCATGACTTCCTGTTCGGCCGTTGAGGCAGTCACAATTCCCTCGGGCGCTTCATTTGTATGGGGTATGTTTCTCGGCGTTGGCGAGTCTGGCTTACGACCAGCTTGAGGGTTGAGTTCTACACTACTGATAGGACTCGATCCCGGCGCAGCAACTCCCTTCACAGAGACGATCTCGGGCTCATCCAGATCCACAATAGGGTCATCATATCGGATTTTGGCAGCATCCTGCAGACTATGACGAGTAATCCCTTCGGGTACCAATCCGCCTCTGTCGCCAGTAGTGGTGAGTGCTACAACATTATCAGGCGCTGGGTACTCCTCGGGGATCGATGGGATCAGTGCCTGGGTGAGCGGGGCGTTGGCTGCTTCAACCGCCTGGGAATAGCCACACTCCACGTCTGGGAAACCCTGTCGCTCAGTCTCAGGACTGCGGAGTGGCTCCACCTCAGACGAACGGAATGAGTCGACCTCAGAAGGGCGGAGTGGGTCGACCTCAGAAGGGCGGAACGGGTCGACCTCAGAAGGGCGGAGTGGGTCGACCTCAGACCGGTGTAATTGCTCGGCAGGTTCTGGTGGACTCAGCGGGGAAGATTCGACATGCCTTGATTCGAACAGCATTGCTGGAGCTGGAAGCTCCGAAGGTGGATGATCCACAAAGTGGTCCACACCAACCTCTGGTGGAGGGGGAAGCACCAGCGACGGCTGGGGAATCTTCTCGGTCTCAGCGGCTAATACAACAGTTTTGTCCGCACTGATGGGAACGGCTGCTAAAAGTTCAGCATGCAGCGCTTTCTGGCGGGCTCTGAGCCAAGAGGCGTAAGCTTCACCTGTCAAAGTGAACTCGATCGAGTGATGAATCCCAGTGGGGGATCCAATCCACACCTTCCGGCCAGCAATGGTCTCCCCTGGGCCACTCATCAGGTGACATCGTAGGAGCACACTATTGCTCGTTTGGTCGGAGGCTATGCATTCAGTAAGGGGGTCCAAATGAGGCAGTAGAAGGAGACACCATCCCACGCAAACGGGCACGTCGTTTGGTTCCTCCTCGACCAAATGGCAATGGAGCTCTACCGCCAGCGCGCAGTTGTCATCCAGGACCATATCGATGGTGTGATAAGTGGAGCTTACGAGGACAGGATTACCGCTATTGTCGCCTTCCATACGGAACGCCCATTCTGGTGATATCCTCTGCAGCCCGTTGTGGGCGTAGACCGTCACAGTGTAGCGGTTCGAGAGCTCCACCCTCTCGTTACTGTCGGGTGTTCTGAAGCGCTGCGAGAAGTCTCGCGCTGCGAAGCGGATGGCATCTCTGAGTTCCGCAGTGGCATGATGGCTGCCAATGTCGACTGTGATACCTCCAATGGTGACGCCTGCTCGAGTTATGTGGGTAGTCTGGAGACAACCAACTGGGATCCCTGCAGCAGCAACATACCCAGCTGGGAGCATTCTCCGCATAGTGTTGGCCTCCTCCTCTTCTCCCGATAGAGAACAGAAAGCGACCTCGAGGCTCCCCCCAGTGGCCAGCCCAACTAGACTCCCAGTCGGCTGTTGAGTGGTGGCAAACGCTCCGATGACCTCGCGCTTTAAGAACGGCAAGACCCTCGGGGTTCCCTCCAACAGCACAGCACCACGGCTGAGAGCATGGTCAGCGGGGATCACGGTCCACCCCGCTGATAGTCTCTCGCCATCAGGATGGGTCAATGCCAGTTCCAGGATGACCCCAGTTTGAGCATCAGGCAAGGAGGAACCGGTATGGTATAGGAATGAGCCGCTCATATCGAAGTCGTGACCGGCAGGCGCGTCCACCTTCAGACCCACCGCTGTGCGACTGGTGATGACCTGGGTCTTCAAGTGGAACAAGGTGACGTACAACCGGTAGGAGACCATAACTCCTCTGACCAGAGAGCTAGGGATAGGCGGGGCCGAGACCCGACCGATGTCTGAGGAATTGCCTATATCGAAATGACGTCAGTAAGTGCTCACCAATTCTGTAAAGGATGGTGGGTCCCTGGTCAACTATCGACTGACTGGCCCTCAGTTGTCCAACACGGTGACCTCCCGTTCTTGCATTCGTGACAAACACGTCTTGTGGTCTAACTCGTTCCATTCGCCTCAGCCAATCGCGTACAGTCTGCCCGTCCTCTGTTTCTGATGACGGAAGCTCTACATGAGCGGTGACCTGGGTGCCGCAAAGGAACGAAGTTGTCTTGACATGCATGATCCTGGTAAGGGCTTACCGGAGCGCTGCCAGCCAGTGGGATGCTCGGAGCAGCGAGCTCGGGTGGGTCTCCAAGGAGTCCGGCTGCTTCTCTATGTGGCGGGTCATGCTGTCCTGCAGACGACGTTCGCCCTGTCGATAATTCTGGTATAGGAGGCAGTGCAGACCCAAAGCCTTCAGTGGGGTGCGACCAAGGCAGAGATTCGAACAGTCCAAGAACAGGAATATTCGACGAATCCCTTCGTTCACTGCTCTGTTCGGTGACCGGCTCGGCAAGCTCCGTCACGCTCGGGGGTTGGCCCGTTCTCGATTCATCACCCGACGATACATCTTTATCTCCTTCATCAGCATCAATCGACCAAAGGTCACTCGCAGAGTGCAAACTAGCATCTGCTGAGACACCAATCTGCATAGAGGAACCAACTGCTCCTGTTGTTTCTGGTCCCGAGACCTCCTTATCGCCCACTATGGGTAAGGAGGCATCAGCTGATGAGTCTACAGAGGACTCAGCCGCGGTGAACGGTACGACCATATCGTCGACTTCCGCAGCCAAAGGCGTCAGTAGATCTAACTCTTGGTCGGATCCTGGGCTTATATGATCATCATCATCATCAAGAGGCAGTAAAGGCAACTGACCGACACAAGCTCGGTCACCCATATTCCAATCAACACGGAAGTGACGACCAGTGTGGCCTCACCTGGTGGTCTTTCGGGTGAGTCTCGACTTTGGAGTCATCTCCAAGATTGAGGATGTCCTCAAAACCTGCATCAGCACTCCCCGTTGACTTCTTCTTAGGGCTGTAAATTGGCCCCGAAGGTGGCGTGAGGGCCTCCTCTAGCAGCTGGTCCAGAAGGTCTAGCGTGTCTGCCATCTATGGAGCTCCAAAGTTAAAGGTATCCATGGCGCGACAAATTGACGGAATACAGCGCGCCAACAGAGAAGAAACTAGAGCATTCGAAGACTAATTCGCGGCTTTCTTGGATTAGAGCGGTCGACCTCCAGTACTGATACACGAACCTGATAGAATCATCCGGCCTAGTGGAGTGCACCGCATCAGAAGGTGGCGGGCTTAAACTCCACGCAGAGCATGACCAACACTCCACCCTTACATGCTGATTGACGGTGAGCGAGTCCAGTGTCACCATTGGCAAGAGATTAGAAACATGAATAAGCCCCGTCACAGACTCCGCGCAATCGAGATGGACAAATGCTCCGAACGATACAACGTTCTTTACTGAGCCTTCGAGATGTGCACCAACCTACAAAGGGTAGAAACCTCTGGTGACGATACTCGAAATAAGCCACAGCAGACGAGGGTGCGACGACTGATTAACAATCATTAGATTCATGGCATCGTAGATGTGGTGCGATACAGTTGCAGCATCGTTATCTCAGTGGAAGGCGTTCTACCCTCACATCAACGCCTCGCGCATGGCCATTGAATCGGCGGTGGAATCCTACCTCCAGCTCGGTGATCCCACATCCGCTTCTATAAGGAGGGTACTCTATCTCTGGAGGCCGATACCGTTCGGGATGCTCCAGGCGGACATCCCTATCGGACCCTACCAACTCAGTGAGGACCTCCGCTGAGGTGGTCCTGGCCTATGAGGGAGCAGTACATCGACCAGCAAACTACCGATGTTCACCTGTTCTGAATCCTCTTCACAGCTCACGTGCTGCAGCAGAGAGTTGAGATCTGATCCTAGCACTCAAATGCTTTTCTTCCTAGCCTCACGATCGACCTTCTCCTCTATGGGTCTCTATCAGACGCTTCAATTGACGAGCACAGTCGTAGGACTCAGGATGGATGCCAGTGGAGTCCAGGGGCTCGCTGCCATCGTAGACCCGTATCTGCACACAAATCTCACCATCTCTGCTAGCTTGATCGGACTACAATCAGGCGCCATTATATTCGTCACATAGTGTAAATTCTGGCTAGTCTACTGAGAACGCTGATTCTGCAATCCTCATCAGATGTGATCACTGAATAATCCACCCTCAGCTGTGGGCTGCTACGACAACTTCGGAATTTCCGAGTCAGAAAGACATTCACTTCAGGTAAAAAAATAAACGCTCTAATACTATAGTGTCCGAGCTTGCCTACAAATCCTGCTGCTTGCTGAAACACAGCAGCTCCTATTCCCTTCACTTTCTTCAGTTCCTCTCGACAGGTAAATCTACCATTACTCGTCCGATACTCCACAATGCGCTTGGCTGTCCCAGCATTGAGACCAGCAACGTACCTGCAACACATACAGCACTAGGTTACCAGTCTCGCTACCTCAACAGCTGCACACTAGCCGTGTTGAGGTCAACCCCGACCTGGCACACGCACCACTGTATTGCTTGGGTCAACGCTGAGTCTAATTGTTTGGGGGGCATGTCGTGCTGGAAAAGGCCCACTCCCTGACACGATCGTGAAGCTGGTCAAGTCGGAATAGCAATACGATATTCTTCGGCTCCAACTTGACGTATTCTGCTATCGGGTCCAAGACACGCCTGGCTATCGATACCGCACCTCTGAAAGATATGTCCATGTCGGGAAGCTCGGCTGCGGCAACCTGAGCAGATTCGCTAGCCAAGAGGTAACCTCCCAAAGCCTTACTGCTCCTGCTGAATAGATACTGGCACCGCATTCGTCAACTACACAGATACCAACGTTCATATGAGGGGGTAAGACTCTTCGTATCGATTCGACCGCTTCCGCAGAACCCTGCGATGTGCGTTCTTACCATAGCAAGAAATACCCTCCTACCTGACCATCGCCGACAACCACTAGACTGCAAGTCCACTGTGAGACCTTCTGCACCAGCTGCTCCGGACCCAAGGCACTCGATCCTGCAATCCAAACAATACAGGTGATCTCGGGCCCCCATCGAGCCCCACCAGGACGAGTCCAGAACTTGAACATGTCCAGGACCTCTCCCGTAGCAGAGATGACCACACACTTGTGCCCATTCACGTAGCCCGGGTCCACACCAACTACCGTCGCGTCCTTCTCGACACGAATTGGAGGACACATCAGTTTGACACTGACATTGTCAGTGAATGTCTTTATAGCGAAATCTTCAGCGGGGACGGTCAAACGCTCCGACCGGAACTCCCTCGCCAAAGACTTCTCTATAGTGTCTACCGTCCTCCTAATCACAGTTGGGATCATCTTCGCACACAAGCACGTCCCGTGACCGCTTGCCAGATAGCGTTCTTGGAGGCACCCGTAGAGCTGTGTGGTGGCAGGAAACACTATCTTCACACGTAGCTCCTTAGCGGCCTCGCCCCGCTTGATAGCGAGCCACTCGTGAGGCTTCACTCTGTCCAGTCTTCTCTTGAGGCCGCCGTAGCTGGAGTATCTACGAATGCAACTATCAAGTAGGGCTCTGAAGCCTGACCGTACTGCTGCTTCGGCTGCTTCGGCTTCACCTTGATCTTCCCTTTTGGAGTAGAGGTGCGCTTAACAATACCTTTTACCTCCAAGCGAGCCCGGCTAGCCAGCATCGAGCGACATATAGATCTAACCTCTTGGTCGTGTGCTGAGGAGGAGACATCATCCACCTATCGCTAAGTAGACCCGTGTGGGAGCCTGCGACGACTCACCTAGCCTGTATGTGAGAATAGCAACCACCGCTGCCTCAACATCCGTTTCTTCTTCAGATGCCGCAACCTGGCCACAGAGGATAACAAAGCATGGATAAAGGAGCTGATATTGTCCAGGTATTTCCTACTCAACTTCGAGTTTTAAACATTCGTACTATAAGTTCAGTTCTATAGCGTGAGCACACTTCAGATGACGCATGGTCCCTGCTATGTATTAGCAAGCACCTGAGCTTGTCGGCGGAGCTGGTCGGTCCTCATAAGACACCCCCCAGGGCTCGCTTGGCCAGCCGCACTCAAGATGACATCAGCTGCAGGTCCGAAACCTAGCAGCGGCTGAATCCGACCCAATTGCATCCGTTCCTCACCAGCGTCAATAGCTGCTTGTGCTTTGGTCTTCCGCTTCGTTTGAGGAGCTCTACTACACATAATATCTGCAATGTCCTCAGCACGGCAATCACTCGCGCAGAGGTATTGGAATGTCTGCTCGTCCAGAGCTCTCCTTGAGGCCAGGGCCCTACACGGTCACGATCGAGGCCGCCTGAACAGTTACACCCCACTTGACGCATTTGAGCCTCTTCTCCTCAACAACCCGCTCTCTCTCGAGCTGCTTGTGAACTTTAACGATGGTCTCCTCAGGAAGGCCGACATAACCTCGCCGGTATCGAGCAACAAAGGGGAGTGTGCACCCTTCCGATTCGAACAACTTCACCGCTCGTCCAACCTGGCATCAATAAAAGGTTTCTAATCACACCACGACGAGTACCTCAGCGAGGCGAGGCAGTAGGCCAAGATCCCTACTGCAGGACTGACTAAGACGTAGGAGGCGACCTTCCTCTAGTGCTGCTACAGGATCGCCCTGATGGAGATGGCTGCGTTGAGTGAGGACTTCACAAGATGGAAGTTACCTTAAGAGAGGTTCGTGTCGCTGCACTTGAAGACGCTCTCGGGGTGAACGACAGATCCCCAGTGAAACCCAACCGGGGCTTTTTCGCAACACTCTCGTTGGCTTGGCGTCCACACTCTCTTTTCATGTGACAATCACGAGTAAGGCAAACAACTACCGCCGATAAAAGTCTCCATTCCCGCTACCTGTCCCTCGCAGTCTCACAACACGCGACTCTTGTCTCTGTCACAATCTAAAGCCATATAGACTGCGACATCTATAAACTACTTGTTATTCTCTCGGTATCATTTCATTATTTCTGATTATATAAAGTAGCGACTAACATATTCTTTCATTCGCCATATCTAGTTTTACAAGGTCACAGGTTGTGATCTTTTAAAAATAGATTCCACAGCACTGACTCACAGCAGTTAGTGCTGCCACACTTGAGTGACCCTAGAGTCCTCGAATCGTGCAGTCCCTGGAAAATCCCTCAGATCACAGCTACCGAGGAGCTCTCTGATTAAACAACACAGCATTGACGGGGTGAACGTAGAGACTGCCTGAGTGACGAAAAGGAATGTCCGAGCAGTAAGAAAAGGATGGGAATAACAGTGACAGTGTGAACATCCCTCAACGTCGCCTCAAACGTTTTTTCTGCCGTGAGGTCCCTCCCCCACTGGTCGCGTCATTCGCCTTCACGGCGACACCCATGTCCTCCTCCTCATCCACCACCATGCTTTCGTCAAAGCATGACGAGTTCATCTGTGGTGATCGCTTCACCGCTCGAGCATAGGGCTGCAACGCCTGAAAGTCACCGTGTCATATTCCTCCTCTCACATCAGCTCTCACTATGACTAGGTTCTCTGCAATCATCACTATCCTCGCTGTACAGCCCACCACCGTGAGACCAAAGGGAAGCCAGTGGCCCCTCGACAATAGCTCCCTCATTGGGGCTGCTGCTGCGAAGGCGTCCTTAGCCAAGCCTTCCAACGACGCGATCACCGTCCGAGCATACTGGCCACTGAGGGGAGGACAAAACCATCGTGGTCGGGCCTGTGAACATTGCCACTGCATACCTCCCATCCGCTGCATTGTCCGCTTCAGCCCGTGCTAGCACGGCTGACCAAGCAGAGATGTTATTGCTATCACTGGAGCCAGCGGTGTCGAGAAGAGCATCTAAGTTCCGCTGCAGTTTTCGAAGAGCTCCGAAATAGGGGAGTCTGAACAAAGAGTTTCAAACTCGGAAAATTCTCTCCTGTTGATGATGACATTCAGCTTCGCGAATTCTAAATAAACCGTCAACAACATCCCTCCGGAGCCTATAATTTCCTCACAAATTTCCCTACGTCAAATCGACAAGACGAGCCTGTTCCGATACTCATCTTCCCGAGTACTCGGAAAAGATACATTCCGGAGCTTGAAGGGGTACTAAGTGAGAATTTCATCCGAGATGAATTTCCCTAGAGATGCCTTTTAGCCGCGAACGATCAAAAGCGATTGGTTTATATGAAAATGATATCCCGATTGGACTCACCTCCCATGCGCGTTGTTCATCTTATAAATAAGACTCGCTAGCACGTTTCGCTCACAGAGGAGCTGGTCGATCGAAAATTGAGGATTTACGCCAGAGCCACCTCCGCTGCTGGTGACAGCCATGGTGATACTAAGTCCCAGCACTGTACGTCATAAACCGGTAGACAACTGAACACAAGACTGCCCTTTCCTCAACATGTCGTTGTCCCCAAGAGGATATTCCATGTAGGCTTCAATGCTAATTTCAACACCCTTGTCCCCACAGTTCAACAGCTGTTTCCCAATCGACGCTTCCGAGGTCGCCAGTCTTCCCTGCTATCAGTGCTCGAACATTCCCTTTGGACAAAGCTGGTGCCTCCGGTGGGACCGCTGCTCGATTGCCGCGATGCGCCAGTGACATTTCTGATCCAACTTTCTCTTCCACCACAGTGGTAGTGAGGGAGAAGAGCGGCACTGTACGGCTTAATGCGACAGCCGTGCTGAAGATGGACAGCCCATAAAGCGAGAAGGACCAGGGCGATCAAGACGAGGCACTCTGCTCACCTAGTATGATTGAGTCTAGCAGCAAACCGCTGCAGCCCTTCGGCGATCGACAACGACTGTGACATCAGTTTCCGCGATAACATGATCTAAGCATCGGAATGCCCTCAAGTCGTAGTGGCCCAGCATCTCACAAAGGCCAGTGTGAAGGCCTCGGGTGAGAGGGTGAGAACAGAGCTGTACTGCTCCTTATGGCTCATCGGTAGACTAGTAGCCTTGCTCCCATCATGGTGAGCTGGATGACCAACCTCATGACTGAGGCAACCGTGACCATCACCGGGGATGATGGACCTACCTTGCATCGTAGAAAATCCTTTGTAGTGGTAGTCGGCTACAGCCTCGCACGTCATCACGGGAGTTGGAGGAAATCTCAAACTCCTTACAGAACCTCATGAACCCTTCGAGCGACATCCCTTCCACCTGAGTACGTCATGGACTAGTGATACCGGAGCGAGAAGTGGCCATGGAGTGGTATCAAGAGCAGCAACTCACTTCAGCATAGTGATTGAATAGAGTCCGGATGCCCGGATGAAGATGCGTTAACGTCTTGCTAAGGCCGGAGTGAGGATCCTGGAGATCAGATAGGCACTCATGAACCAGTTCGCCATCAGCACCACCAGGGGAGCCCAAGACCTGCCAAGAGGAACGAGGAAGAAAGGCCGTGTGGTGCCTCAGAAGAAGCCTCAGAATTTGATCTCAGCAATGGTCAGCCTATGGCTACTTCGAAACGCGATTTTAATCGCTTCTCAAAATTCGATTTCTACGCCGCCAAGGTATCACCTCCAAAAGCGGTCTGATCTTCTCCACCGTGATTTTTCTCAATATTTCAGCGTCCGTAAGCCCAAGCCTACCATGATGGCCATAAAATGCTCGGGCGACCTGAACCATATCCTCGCTACTCTAGATTAACCCAAGTGTAACATACCCGCACAAGGGCCCTTTGGAAGCCGTCACGGTCCAGATAATGCCGATGCTTCGCTGAGCTTCTGTTCTTAGCACGCTCAGTGCTCCTCAGGAATATCAAGTCAGCGGCTACCGACGTGAGGAGCTGACTGCCGTTGGCTGAACCACCATGCTACTCTAAAGCACCTCGCCTCCCGTACTGTGTCTCACCTGGCGCTTCGGCATTTGTTGCTTTCATCAAACCAGCATCTCGCAGGAAGCGGTGAAACTACCAAATGGACCGTTAGCCGACCTATTCCGAATCTTCCACTGAGCGTGCTTGGATTCATCACGATCTGCCGCCTATATCCGACACCATAATCAAAATATAATATAATAACGGAGTTCCACCCGTTTAACGGGGTGTGGCGTACTACTCCATGTAAACTATAAGACGTGTATCTCAATACGACTAATAACACAATTGTTTTCTGCAAAGTAAACTGTGAAGTATATTTTTCACTAGTGTTTTTTATATCACGGTAGAAACTCCAATATAATAACTGGACTTCATCATTCTGACCTTAGCCGTCCCTAACTGCGTCCGATTGAGTGGATTGCCCAGCATTGCATAGTAGGAAAACACCGACGTAATAAGATCGTCCTCCTCCTCGGGAAGCCCGATCTCAGTTGAGACATCGCTACCTCCATCACTGACGACCACCGAGTGACTCCGCATCGCTCGAGAGACCATCCTAACTAGGTGATCAAATTCACCTACCAGCCAAGAATTACCTCCGCACAGGTCGCGGCTGTTGTGGCGAATTCAACACAACTCCCTCGAGGTTCGCCGGCAGCAGTCTTAATGGCTTCGACGATGCTCTCGCTACCATCGGGAGTGCGGCAAATCTAACACGTCCCTGAGAGCATCCATAGCCTCCAAGATACCTACCTCCCTGCGCGCACAGCGAAGATTCCACTCACCTTAGACTGGTCCATTCTATCAAGCAACCTGACCAGCCGTGCGGCATCCGTCTGCGTTGAGGCAGGAGCCCCTGTGACCACGTCCAAGTCGGTGAACAGAACCCCAGCCGTCTGAACGTAGCGCCCAACTATGCGGACCATACCGGCCTACCAGCCTACTCTTAGTAGCGCCGCTTCGAAGTGAGTATAGGTAAAATAGCGGCCGCCAAGTGACGATCTCCTGGCGGCCCTTTCGGCGATTCTCTCATCCTTCATAACGCTGCGGAATACTTGGAAGATTTGAGACTTTGGCAGGATAACCGGGCACAGCTCAAAATCTAAGATACACAAAGAGAGCCACATCTCGACAACGTTCCCCAGGCATCATCGCGATCAGTTGATAGAATGCCAACATTCATTGAGGGGGACTCCATGAAGGATACAGTCACAAGCACAGGAGCCAGACGAGTCGAGTTGTTGCTCATTCATAATCAGACCAATGACAAAGGATACAGTCACGAAGGCCCAAAACACCCACGGAGTAGGCACTAAGACTAGAGCCTGCTGAATGAACACTATCTCCCACTATTGTGTGATAGTACTTCCCAAGCAAGGATACTACCTATGAAGACCTGACACAACTGCTTCTGAGAATAGCCGTGCAGGGCGTGTGTAGCCGCGGCACTCTTGTCTTTCTCAGGGTCTTCACCGTGGAGTTCCATTGGGAAGTATCCACTATATAACCTGATGCCACAGATCGACTACCGCGCGCCACGAAATTGAGTCCCCACCGTATGAGCGGCCGTCGGCAAGCATCGAAGACTCTGACCACCTCCTCGTCGACTTCTCTCTTCTCGCCAGAGCCTATCACCGTACAACAATATCCAATAACATACATACCCGATGACTCTACAACTTGACAAGCGAGACTCCTCCAAAGACCACACGCCTCCTCCTTAATCACCTTCAGACTGTTCCACGATGCCAACAGCAGCAGCTTTCGGGTCTTCTACTATTCCCTCCATGTCAAAGCTAGACAGATGTTCAGAGTAAAGTCGGGCCAGAGATACTGCAGGATTCCCCGTCTGATATCTACCAAAAACGACAATAGTGGAGTTTCACCCGTGATATGAGAAAACACTAGTGAAAAATATGTTTCACGACTACTGCATATCGCGAATATTGGGTTTCTTTTTCACAGAGTATTACGCCACTTTACGTAGAGTGGGTGAAACTCCAATGTCATAATATATCTTCGGTTTCCAAAGCTACCTCATCAAAATTGACACAAGACTTGGGGTAGAAGTGTACAAAAACCAACGAGAATTCCCCGATCTTTCCTCCGAATTTCCAAAAAAAAATCTAAGTAGAGTACAAGGAGATTGTCCCATTCTCCTGGTTGACCATGACCACATTCCGCCACACTAGACAAACAAGCAGACAATCCACACAACTTACTTCTCCTCAGCGACAGCAACGACAGCGTCCATGAACTGGTACTTATTAAGACCTGGTACCGCCTGGTCTCCACTGCTGTGTATCTGGAAGCACGCATAAGCCGCAATTCCAGCAGACAATATCACCCTAGTGTATATCAAGTCAACGCGAACATCTGTGAGCCCGTTGCCCTTGTGCTCCTCGTCAATGATGCCGCTGTCCAAGCACATCCTTCTCAGCTTTGATGCACGCAACAGCCTCTCCCCAGGGTGGCTGGACGGGGATGCATAGTAGTTAAAGATGCCCAACAGGGTTCGCTGACAGCAGACAACGATACGGCCACCGAGCTGAGCAATACACACAAGAAGGATCTTCATGATCTCTAGTAAACTACTACGGTACCAGAACAACCGGTGGACCCTTCCCAACCGAACTACTAGGCTAAGGCCGCGATATCCTACTATTTCATACCCAACTACGAGAGACACTCAGTGCCCGATCCGCAGCACTGATGAAAGTATGGCTAATGGACAGCATTACTATAGTACATATAGTATAGTACAGTATACAATAGTATATAGTAGTGTGGTATAATTTAGTCTCCTGTGAACCCTCCTGGCTTATAGTACTGCTGAGGACTAAGCCTTTAGGAAGCAATTCCCCCTACTACCTGGATGTCCTCAATGCCAGCGCTGCCTGTCTTCGTTGAGGAAGCAGGCATCAACAGTACAACTGCAACTCGACTGACAACTCAATCGATCTGACTACTGCCTCAGCCAGCGCAACCCTGGTAAGACATAGAAACACACTCATGAGGCATGGCTCCTTCCCCATTCTTCGACCTACGACCTTGATGGAATAGAATTTTTCTTGCCATCCCGAGTTTAGAAGTCGCCCGCCCGTAAACTTCGGCATATTCGCGCGAGCGACCCAAGGTCGTCTAACCGAGAGTCGAAAAGGTTCTAGGAATGATGGAAAGTCTCGCCAGAGGCTAGGGTCAACTCCAGAGGAAGTGATTCGATGGGCGAGCGAGCTTGGTCGCTCGCAGGTGCTTCAATAATCCGAGGATTCCGAAGGAAAGTTATTAGTAACTGACAGTTTTTTTTTTCTTAGTGGACTGGGTGACGGGACAGACCCGTGTGAGACGTGAGTCGTTGATACGACACCACCTAGTCGGGCACCTGTCCCGTGACCGAAGCTTCAGGGGGGAGCCCTGCAAGTCTTCGGTCCTCTCCACACCACCTAGTCGACTAACTCTATCAAAGTTCCCCTGGTTAAGTGTAAATGGTTAGAGGATCACTGGAGCCAGAGTTGAACCACGGAGAAAGCAGAGAAAAGACACCCACCGTGGGGCTCGAACCCACGACCACAAGGTTAAGAGCCTTGCGCTCTACCGACTGAGCTAGACGGGCTTGTAATCAAACTTGAACAAGACGCTAATATATGACATTCCTGATCCGGTTTTACTTCATATAAACTTATCAGACCCCTATTTTCCTTCTGAGCAACGAACAGTACTTGACGCTTACGCCGGAGGAGTCGACCAAGTACAGACCTTTGTCAAACATACAGTCCATCATTGACGCCCCGGGAGGCGAGATTCGTAGACCGCTGCTCAGGATACCACTCCTATTGCTGAGCCTTGGACCATGCCGAAGGAGCATGCGATCTTCCTTTCCCTCAATCTTTACGCCCAATGACCTTGGAAGAGCAGCCCAAAAAGCGGCCGTGTTCTACCCTAGGCTTACCGTGCTCAATCATGTCCTCGAATATCTTCCTCAGAAGCAACCACACCCGAGGCTTCCATATGATCCACCACCAACTGCCGGTTGCATACCATCTTAATAGATCACGAAGACTTTCCTCCAGCTAAGGTATTTTCCACCTCGCATTCATCCCCACTTAGAGCTCCTGACACTGTCAGAACACAGCGCTTACCTTAATCTCAGGACTGACTTCGTCTTTCGTACGATTGTTCCTGTACAGACTCCCCATGAAGTCCTGTTCCACATTATCATAGGTGACGCAGGGGTCTGACTATAGATTTGATCGATAGGGATATCAACCGCAGCCCATCAGAAAAGCGCCTCAACGAACCCCCTCGATGATAACGAACCAGATGCTCCTCTTAAGCTTAACCCCGAGCGCGAACGTGTCGGCAACACAACACTAAGGATTTCACATTCCCACCACAGTAGAGCATGCATCAGCATCTGTATTCCATACGGAGATCAGAGGCAATACTCCAATAACATCAATGAAAATAACCAACGACCATTACAACACGCATATCGTCATAAGGTTGATCATCACCACTTCAACATTCTTCACTATCATAAATGCAATGCACTCGAAAGGCCTTTCTCAAAAAAGGTATCGCGACTCTCGCGGCGAGAGTCTCGCCTACTCCTATACTAAGGATCATATGATTCACGATCTTCATTTAACAAGTCTATGCATATGACATATGCCATCATGTTCATATCAATGAGAGTCATCATGCAAGCACCCCAAGTGCACTATCAGTACGTAATCTAGGGTTCATATACGTATACGATAGATTAGTTCATCAAAAAGACGCTAATACCCCGCCACCAAGAGTAGCAGCAGTATTCGACAAACATATCATCACTCCTCGATGCCCAACCGAGACACCAAGAGCAGGGCAACTTATACCAGTACTCTCATTCCTGTCTGGTCAGTAGTAATTTTGACGCGTTGAGAAGGCGGTAGACAAACAAGTACCACAGCAGACGCTTATGCTAATGCAAAGTCGGCCAAAAATGACCATCCAGTGAAATGTGATGTTCTTGACAATAATCTACCCGTCGGAGCTCATCTTCATTTATTGTTTTTCCCACTCTCGTGCTTTCCTTGCACAGGGTCAACGGAAAATCCTAAAAGCTAAATTTGAAGCACAGAAACAACACTTCGACTCACCAGCAGCAGCAGATAACAACTTCAACGAGGATTCGCTGCACGTGGACTCACCGGCCTCGCCCTCCCCCCTACTAGAGTGACGAAGATAATCGAAATTCAACTTTGATGCCGGGCCGCCAACATTAGCAGAGGTGACCGCAGGTCCAACGATAGCAGTATCAACAGTCATCATCATCTCAACTGGAGGAGGCACCCCCTCATCAGCAGTACCCATCATGGCAGCAACAGTCGCTCTCTCGTCAAGCAATTGCCTATAGAGCTCAGCAGTAGAGCTTGCCACAGTCTTCCCCCCAGGAGGAGCTGTAGCATGACCAACTGCTGTCGTGTTCGGATCAGTCATCCCAGCGTTCAGTGCTTGAGCGATGAGACTGAGCTCCGGTGTAGGTCCCAGGCCTAGGATCTCCCTCTCCAGCTGAGCCACCTTCCTAGTGGCCTCTTTCGTTAGGCCGTCCTGTATGGCAGAGCGCAAACAGCGCCTCATCTTCTCCTCCAATGCTATTTGCAGTGGCAGCTTAACATCGCCCTTAGAGACCCCATTTTTATGACGGGCTGAGTCAAGCGCAGAGCCAGAGACACCCTTCGGGGGTCCAGACAGCTCCTTGAGTAACGCGTGAGCGCTAGCGACCGCACCAGAGGGCGCGCTGAGAACAACTCCATTGAAATCATCGCAGCCACTTCGGAGTCCACCTGATGAGCTCCTGGAAAGTCTCGGCCTGCTTACTGGCTTGTGCATGCTGATGAGCAGTATAGGCCTGCACAATATATCGACTCTCGAACGGATATGTTTACTCACCAGTGTGTTGGCATGCTCCGAGACGTGCAGGTTCCCACGGATGCTTTCAGTGATCAAACAACCCGCTAGGGTACACTGACTAGCAGCGCCGGTGATATTGACGATGCGCTAAAATAGAGATACTGGAGCACTCAGCATTCAGAGAGTAGTCCCACCTCTAACACTCCATCGAGGCGGGGTGAGATCTTGATGTTGACACTACAAATCAAAGCCAGCCGCCTGAAGTGGCAACAATGACAACAGCAGCGGATCGCTGACTACTCACTTAATTTCCTTGCCCTGCTTGCCCATAAGGGTCCCAACGCTAGAGTTGGGTACGACCAAACGAAGCACTGTCGGCGATGAACCAGGACGGCTTGGCACCTGAGCGCCAGGATGCTCTCAGTGAAAGCATTGCCTACTTTGGCGGTGCCGAAGGAAGTCGTCTGAGTCTGAGCAATTTGATTGCAGATTTCGAACTTGCCGACGACCTCTTGCAAAGCCTGAAACAGAACATATATTCATCGCGATTGCACAAAGTACACCCTACAGCACGAACGTTCGCAGGCCTCCCGCTGAGGACCATGATACGCTCGGTGGTGCCCGGGAAGTAACTCCCACCAGAAGAGACATGAACTGTCACTCGAGTGGCCTAAAACTTCGATGGTCAAGCCGAGATGCTTTCCCCCCTGCCTTCTCCAAAGCGGCGATCTCCGCCCCGTTTTTCCCGATAATGGCTCGAGCCTGGTCGTGTGTGATGAGAATCTTGCAAAAGCACCGCTCCGCGTTCAATAGCGTTTTCCCTGAAAGAGAACTGCTTCGTTAAAGATGGGTAACATGTTTACAAGCATTCTCAGCTATTCGAGGGCCTTCAAGTACTCCCAGCAACTTGGCAATACTCTCCGAACTTCGAACCAGTTCACTGACTAAACCTGAGCAGCAGCAGCAGCCCCATGACAAAACTCTTCCCCCATCACGAACTCACTCCTCGGATCTTGACCCCTAGCGAGGATCTCTTCTACCATGCTCATTGTTTGAGAAGGCGTGGTATCATCTTCAACCTTACACCACCGAGCCCCGTTGATTTCAGTGTCGGTGAGGGTATTGATGAAATCACGAATACCAGGATTATCGGACCTGCTGTTAACATTGGCAACAACAGCGTGTTAGTGACCATCTCGTACGCGATAGTCTACCTCTGCGTATTAGCTTGCGAGGAGTCCCCCTGCATTCCCAGGTGATGCTGATGATCTCCGATGGTATTAGAAGTTGCCCACAAGTTGCCAGTGTGGTGATTCCTCTGCATCCGCACCGAGGCACCAGTAACAACACCTGTGCTATCATTGCCTTGACTGTTTGACGAGTTTGAGAGTTCGGCAGTCATGCGTGTGCTCTGTGATAACGCAATCAACTGAGAACAGCGATGCATCACCCCCGTCTACACTTGAGGCCTCAACCCGGACAAGCTCGTCCTAATACAAGCTCTCTGTCAAGATGATTTGGTGACCACAGGCAAACTCTGGCTCCACGCTTTCGGAAAAGACAACCATAGGGAATGCAAGATCCGTTCTGTGTAGAAGATTCGTGTCACGCGCCACAAAATGGTGCCGAATCTCAAGTGCTCACTACCTACTCCGGGGTTCGATCCCGGCACTCGGCATTTTTTAGGAATCAAGTCATACGGGCACCAGAAATAGCAATAATACCACTCCTCTGTCGAATAATGGCTGTTGGAGGAGTCAGACCAGCGGTTCTCTCATTGCCACTGGCCGCAGTCTTATATACGTGCATCATTATGGACGTTGGTTGTTTTCTACCACGCATCCCTTTGCCAGTGAGAGGAAGGTCAGGTCACATGGATCCCCTCCTCGAGGACTATGGGGTACAGGCCAAGACCCTCGAGGAGATCACGTTCGAACATTCCCAGTGCCACTGTGAGGCTGCCCAGTAGATGATGCACGACCGGTGCTTGACGAAAATGAGGCTCAGTAATAGTAGGGGGTTCGAGCGGATGGGGGCAGGCCTATTGACCGTCGGGATCTCTTACCGTCCGCTACACTGCATAAGTGTCGTGGGGGAATGGTAAACTTGGGAGCGCAGTACGTTGGCAGTGAGAGCGGCCTGTAAGGAGGTTTACAGCGCTCGACCATCCATGGAGGTTCATGACCGACTCTCCATCATCACCATCATTATTCAGAATTCTATCACCCGCTAAGGCAACTGAGCACCAGCTGCCAGAGAGGGAAGAGGAGGAGGAGGAAGGGTATGTCGCCTCCTTCAAGAAGCGATCCCACGAGGCACCAGCCAGGTAGTCATCTCTCAACATGTCTGAGCACACGGGGCTACTTCTAATGAGCCGATGAAGCGCAGGAAGACTACTCGGGTCGAGCTTCCCAAGTTGGACCTCTAACAGCCTTTGGATTTTGGTAAGAAGCTCTCTCATACGGACGCCACCGTCAGCGTGAAAGGCTTCAAAATGTTGGCCAAGTGGCTGTTCGGTTAGGGGATGGTCCGGTAAGCTCTCGCCCTACCACTCATCTGGAAGCGTACTCATTGGAGGGTGCTCGGAAGCTGTGACGCGGTCTCTGATTCGTCCTTTGGATGGCTCACGGTTGAAGGGTGCAACACAACGTGATTTGCTCGAGGGATGGTATGAAGGGCTGCCGCTCAAATGCTGCAGCTCTCTCTGGTGGAAAGCCTTTTGATTCACAGTCAAGGAGCAGTGGGAGAATGTGGTTTCCTTCCGCTATTAATTTCGTGGCGCGTGACGGTAGTCTCAGTTGGATAAGCATCGTATCAACAAGTATCGACTCCTGTTATGCATCGCCTTGGCAGAACTCATGAACCACTCCATCAAAGTTCAAAGCATCGAGTCCCTCCTGAGACTGCTGGATAAGGACGATCTCGATAAGAAGAAATGCAGTACATGGCATCAGACCTACTTATATCGATAGTCCCCTCAGGATGGCACGAGGCCTTCACCGTCGGCAGGCACGCCTTCTGTGGTGATGCATTGTGCTAGATTTTTCTGGGAAGAGTGGACGGCCGAGATCAAGGCAGTCAAACGATGACTCCAAGAGTGCGGTTCTTACGACGTTGATTTCACGTTGCTGCGGCCGTGGTTGAGATGCGTTAGACTTCGTAATGTGGAGAGCGTAGTGGATGAGGTCTACCTCTCCCTCCTGCTGAGGAGCCTTGTCAAGAGATGCGCACATGGTTGTATAGAATTGGCGAGAACAGCCGTGCTGAGGATATGCAGCGTGAGGAGGCATATGCTGCTGAGGACAAGTTGGAGAAGTGGATGAAAAAGGAGGCTGTTACTCGGGCTCCGTCACGCGCCACGAAATTATATTGGGGAATTCCTGTGTTTGGGAGGCATCCCGAAAGTCGACCAGACCAACGTCAAACTCCCTATACCAATATCACTGTTGTTTCCTTTTCTCATCGGAGGGTATATGCGTTCGAGTGTTAAAGGCATGCCGGGAGCATTGCAGTTGCTCTTATTCATCTCCGAAATGGAGTCCGGCAATGCTGTCCTTCAGACCATACAGTCGTGTGAAAACCAGAGAGCCTACAAGTTGCTCAAAGAAAGGGAGGTAGTATCAACAGGAACTGCAGTATTAGGCCAGGGATGGTTAATCAGGCCAGCCGTGATAAGCTGACGAGAGAACGGAAGGGTATTGACCATCAGACTGAGAAGCTGACGAAGAGGTAGGAGCTCGAGGGGGTCGCCGTTTACGTGCTGCTATTGGCAGGGTCATGGCCAGTTCCTCGGCCACTAGTAAGCTGGAGTCGTTGGAGGCTGAGTTCAGCAAGCAGACGGTTGGGTTGCAGTCACGGTAGTAACGGAGGGAGGGGTATTATCGTGATTGCTGGTATTGAGAATGGCAGGTCCGACTATGTGGCGAAGAGGAAAAAGATTGACGAACTGTTGAAGGGGGAAAGTGCTGAGGAAGCACACGTGCCAGAAAGCGTAGTGGCATCACATAGGAGTGGGGAGTCCATCTAGTGGGGGAATGAAAGGTTATGGTGGCTCTCTAGGGGACGCACCAGTGGCTAAGAAACGCAAGTCGGTTAATAAAGTGGCTCTGTCCTTTGGTGATGATGATGATGAGGATTCCTCCTCGAGTGAAGAGGGAGATGATGAGAAGGCTCGAGGGAAGATTATTATACCCAAGCTTAAGAAGGTGAGCTGGGCCTGGTGGTTGTAGATATTGATCGATGCAGGACCCCAACGCGAAGACAGACTTTTTGCCAGATGCGGAGAGAGATGCAACTCTTGAGCATGATAGGGAGAGGCTCATTAAGGAGTATTACGAGGAGCAGGAGAGGCAGAAAGGTATATCTGTGTGAGTGCCTGTGTGCAGTTAGGCGTGCTGGTCAGGACTTCCGCTGAAGGTTACGTATAGCTACTTCAACGGCACCAATCATCGTCGGGCTATTGAGGTCACGCAAGGCTGTACTGTGACGGACTTCTTGGCGAGATGCAAGAATCAAGTGAGTTTACCTGGACCAGCCTGTTCGACAGGATTACACTCTTCAGTTGGAGGCGGACTTTCCTGAGCTCAAGAGTCGGAGCATTGGAGGTATAAAAGGACGCGGATCGCCGTGTTAATGGTTGTTCTTGCAGGGAGCTCCTGGGACGAGCTGCTCTTCGTAAAGGAGGATGTTATACTCCCCGGCAACTTGCCTTTTCATTCGCTTATACGGGATAAGGCTCGCAGTCAAGTGAATGGGCTGTAAGCAGTGTGTCGGCATCCTTACTTGAGCTATGCGATAGGGTATTCTATATCATGTTATTAATATTATGACGGTTACTTAATAGTCCATGAAAAGGACTTATGATTACATATATTTATTATTGGAGTTTTACGTGAAGTGGCGTAATATTCTGTGGAAAAACGCGATATTCGCACTATGCAGTAGTCATGAAATATATTTTTCACTGCTGTTTTTCATATCACGGGTGAAACTCCATTGACAGATAGTTATACATCTAATATACAATTTTATCTGATAGCTAAACATAACTACCATGGTGTTAACACTAATAATGATACATTCATCATGCAGAGAGACTATATGAATTTTCGCCGTATTAGCCGAGACGTCAAGTTTTCATGCATTTGCATAAGCAAAGTATATGCAAAATTGAGTGTGACGATGGGTCTATCAGGCCGCTGTATCAATTTGAAGTCGATGATGGAGGTCTGGGTATTGGAGACATTCGCGCGACGAGAGATAGAAGCAACCCAGGTATTGTCCGTTGACACTCATCACTCGTCATGGTGACTCTTTAGGTAAAATAGTCGATCGTAAATGGTACGAAGAGAACAAGCATGTCTTCCCTGCCAGCAAGTGGGAGCTCTATGATCCTACTAAGTGCGCTAGTTCGGACGCTAAAGCGAAACTACAAAGTTTGACCTGAAATCTGACCGAGCCGTGCTGTGTTGAGGGCCTCCAGGAGTGAGTCCAGCTTGTTTTTATACAGTATGGGAGCTGGCGGTTCGAAACCGGAAGATCAGCAGAAGGAGAAGACTCCATCCTATCCTAATCAAGTTATATACACTGATGCATTTTTACAGTCCGCTGGAGAGGAGAGTAGACAGTATGAAGATGGTCTTGTGGAACCATCAGCACCTCAGCTTGATGACAGTGATGACGATGATGATTACGACATGTGAGTGTTTATGGTTGCACTTCAATGAATGGTTTCTATCAGTACTAGCATGCACGTGTCGACGGGTATGGATGGTTTAGGGGCTGCTGATGATGGAGACGCAAAGTCCAGGTGAGGCTGCTGTGCAGTTGGTCGAGTTACGACAGCTGTGGTATTTTAGTTCGAAGGAGCTACAAGCTAGGACGTTCCTTACTGAGGCTGAGAAGTTCCAGCAAATGACCGACTCCATGACACAGTCCATGCACGAGAAGACCTCCGACTTGATCGACAAATACCCACCGTAGGCTGATGGCTCGGTTGCCGTTGAGATTGGTTTATGTACAGGACGCAACGACGAGATGATGTTGTGACTACGCTAGGCAAGCGGTTATCAGTGTTTCAAGACCATGAAGATAAGCTGGATGTAAAAGGTAGGAAGATGCTCGATGATTGAATGACGTTTTTCCATCAGATTTGTGGACTCATACAAGCAGTGCGCCCAGAGGGCTGTCGAGTCGCGGAGAAAACACTAGCTCCACTTGTGTTTCACTCAATATTCCACAGAATGGTTGTCGAGTTTTTGAAGTATTAACTCTATATGAAATTGAGAGTTGAATTGAATGTCCGAACGCAACAAATCTGCATGGGGCAGAAACATGTTATAGGCCCATATTCTCCTGCATGCTGGAAAGTGTCTGTTCATAGCGAACACCGAATTTAGCAAACTCATCGTATTTAATTCTCATCATAGCTGGCTTGTCAAAGTCGGCCTGAGAGGGCAGTTCCAGTGGCATAAGTTGGCGATACCGATGCACCTGTTGGGCGATCAGGCTTGTTCCCAGCCATACTGCATTCTGCCCGGTGGACTTGATCCCTATCGTGCTGGGCAGGTTAGTTTTGTGGCGCGCGGAAGTGAGCATCTGGGAAGCAGTAGATGGTCGCTATTGGAGGGCACGAGCCAGCCAGCCACCTTGAGTTCCAACTTGAGCCTTTTGTCGAAGTTGGTGAACATTGTCGAGCCTCCCGACAGGACAATATTCTGAAGAAGCAATGCCGCTGAGTAGCGTCCATACGCCTACCGAATAGAGTCTAGCTCGATAATCTATAGGAGCAGCTTGAATGGCGTCATCGACCAGTACTGGCACTGGGGTAGCGTCCCTCTCAGGACCACAGGAAATAGTCTGCGACAGCTAGGAGCTAACGCGGGAACCACAGGATGCGTTTACCGGCTCGAAGAGAATCTCGGGAGCTATGAAGCGCTCATAGTAAACTGAATACTCCCAGCCGTAGGCATCGCTCCTCAAGCGTTTCCTGGCCAATTTTGGATCTACGCAAGAACGATGACGAGGGAATCCTCCACGAGCGGTACCATCATCGAGCCTGATGGCCTCGTCGACAGGGTTGGCTGCCAAATAACAGCTGCCGTGCTTGATCTTTTGCACAGCCGAGGCGATCGCTTTCTCCCTGTCCCTCCGTCGGAGAGCGCTCAACGGCTTGAACCTAGTGGAGGTCGATCGGGCTAGGACGACCACAACACATGTACTCTTCGCGAGCCTCAAGGTGGCGTTTTATCATCTCTGAGATTTGAGCGCCGCCGATTGCTTCCTCTTTCACTGAGCTGCAGACCAAATAGCCGTCCACCTGAGGGAAGCAATAACGCGGGTAAGTGCGGTGAGCAAGGCTGACCAAACACATGATCTTCGTGAGGTTCTCTCCGATATCCACAATGGTACCTGAGAGAAGACGGCCTCGTACGACTGGGCAGAGGTGGCACTTGCCTGTGAGGCGGCCAGGACTGCAGTTGGGTCCGGCAGAGGCGAACAGGGCGGCAACGGACTGGTCCACTATAGTGATGGAGAGAGGCGAGAGTGCGGTCATCAGAGCACGCATGAACTGAAGGGAGGGAGACCAGCCGATGGGAGGGGCCAGCTGAACTCACCTGGGCCCGATCGACTGGGGAGCTCATCGCTGGCAGGGCCTGACCGAACACATATCATCGACAACGCAGAGGGGACAGTTACGAAGAAGAAGTGACAGTCCATGGGGTCAATTTTGAGGTACTCCTTGCAGCATGCATCGGTGAACAATACCAAGTCGCTGAGACTCTCAACTCTTCCATCGCGAATAACAGGGCGAACCGAATATCCAGCATCGAAAAGTCTCAGCCTGAAGGGCGAGCAAACTAGTAGGTGTGCCCCAAGGCGATACCCCTGCTACTTCATCGCGTACTTCCCTATGTAGTAACTGAAGGAGATCGTGGGAGAAGCGAACGTTCAGGGTCAGGCCTACTCTCCCCTGGGACTGTCGCTGTTCTCTCGAGGGACCGGCGTGGCGACAAGACTAGGGATGACGCAGTCCGGCGCCGAGTTGCCTGCGAAGCCGATTTTGGCCAGCCCGCTGCCGAGATCGATCGCTACACGGTGTTCCATCAAGAGTAGCCTGGGACAACAACTTCGCATACTATGAACGCAACTAGCCTCACTGTGTGTAGAAAGGATAACTGGTAAGTGGGCATGGCCCTACTCAGACGAATACATGACCAAAAGCGTTTATCACACGCCTGAAGGGTTGACCTACACCGAGCTTCCAGGACATACTTATGTCGTGTATGCGAGGCAAAGGAAGTTGCAGAATGCTCGAGCATCTACATATACCTCCCGTCAGCTCATTGACCATAGCTGCCGTTGTTTACTCCATCCTGACCCCTGCGCCGGAAAACTCTAACTTACGCCGATGAACCCCATCAGAGGTCTGTCCTCAATGTTGTACCCCACGCATAGCGTGGATAACACTACGATCGAGTCGAATCGTCAGAAGCCAGCATGCACCCTATTACGATGCAACAGCGAAGGGCAAAGGAGGCAGCTCATATGAATTTTGACAGATTACTATACACAATGCCGAAACTTCCGAAGCCCCCCATTCCACCCCGACCCCTTTGCATACTAGTGACCATCCAACTGGTCGGCCTCCCACTCCAGAGGCCTCACCCACCCAAGCCCTTCGTTACCCTAGGGGCATCTCCACAACTCCTAGAGGAATACATCGGATTTCATCTTCCAGCCCGAGCTGTGACTCGCATCGGCTTCACTGTGATGAAATATTAGAGCAGGTGGAACATACCCGACGCTCCAACGCAACTCATGTATTAACCCTTCGAGAACACGAGCTCCCGATTATACCTCGGATGTAGCAGCAAAGAGTACTCTCGGGTACGCAAATGCTTTTTCCGATACTGACGACAACAATGATACATTATAATGGGATGAAGGATATGCTTAGTGCAGCAGGAGACGACGGAATCTTCGCTGTGCGGGGGCAGGATAGCCTCACGGGGCAGATATTTTGGGCGCAACTCGGCGACCAAAGAGACGACGCCGGAGCTCAGTGAAGAGCATCTTCCTCTCCTCAGCTACCGCGGGTGTGCCTAAGGCAACGCGAGCTCGTTTGAGCGCATAAGACCCCTATGGACAGACCTAGAAGTGTCGAATTCTCCTGCGTTCTGCGTATCAAATACGGCACGACATCCTTTACCGGGCCGTAAGGTACATACTTATACCTGGAATACACGCCTTCCTGCCCGAACCCCTTGCACGCACGCGTACGCTTTATAGCCGTTATCAGCTAGGACGAAGGTAATGGGGTCGCTCATGCCGAGGAGTTGGCCAAAGTAGACGTGCTTCTGCCTTTCCTCTGAATTGCCACACTCTTCGAGAGTCCTGAGGCGAAAGACTCAGGTGCCCAGGAGGGTCCGGACGAGCTCACTTGACAGTGAAATTGACTGTTGCGTCGTTGTGTGTGGCAACCATAAGCCTCGGCTGGGAGGGATGGACAATGAGGTCCTCAATAACAGCGTGACACGATGCCGTTGTCGCCTCGTAGGTATCCAAAATTGGGGCCTCCCTGCAAGAATACAGTTCCAAGATGGATTCCATGATGACCCTTGGAAATCTAGCATCTAGTACGACTAGTTCACTGATGTCTCAGTAGTTGTGGTAGAAAACAAACATCTCGACAGAATTCCATCTATAGCCTGCAACCCGTATTGTCTCAACCTTCCCCCGACATTCTTCAGGACTGTGACGGAAGTTGTAAAATATTTTCACGATATCATTCTTAGGACAATTCTTTTAATTTTATTCGACCGTTCCCTCAGCATCATCACTCACACCAAAATGGACCTGGCCTTACCTATTTTCGCTCTCCGCCTTAAGACGTTCGCTGACCATATAAGCCCCACGGACGACTTTGCATGCAAACTGATACCCCTGAACAACGAGGAATATGCAACAGATAGGGGGAGTGCCCACCTCTCGCTCCGCCATTTTCATATGGTGATTAACTCTGAAACGTGCGTCCTTCAAATACGTCTGAAACGTGTTGAAGACGATAGGCCTGAGCGGATCGATGTACGGGGACATGCGAATTTCGTGGCGAGTGACGCTGAACCCACCCTTTCTCCGAGTCTCTGTTGTATTTCCTCATCATATGAACCACTACGTTGTCAATAGCCGGTTGTATCTACAGCCCAGTACTGACCAGCGGCCCTCAAAGATCCACGTGGAAAAAGCTCCTAATGTGGTGATGACATTTACATGGGAAACTGATTGAAGAATGTGTTCCTAACAATATGCGAAATTCAAAATGAGTCCCCCCCGAGACCATCATAGGCTCCTGGAGGATTTCCTGGCGACCACACTTCTTTTCCTACCGCAGTCCACTCCGCGTCAATCATGATCTTCACACCCAGGCTGTACGCCTTCTTGCATATCATGTCCACTCGATGCAGCATCGCCCTGACCAAAAACGGCGCTTTGTGAACTACTCCACTAGTGGAGAATGCCTAGGACTACTTCATGAGCTCAAGTTCCTCCTCGTCCAACGCCGCATCATACAACGGGCCGTGCTCTTTGCATTCCTTCACCATCTGAATACAATCCAAATCTCTAACAAGCACCGAAACAGCGGTGTTTACTACCTCCGACATATCAATGAGAGTCATACTGCACGTCCAGTCGACCAGGTCAACCGAGCCGTCATGGTAGATGTCCAATTTATCAAATGTCCTCTTTATCTCTTCCTCCCCTCCCTTAGGTTCGTTGAAAAAATTTAGCCATCCCTGTGCAACGAGGAGTGATACGCTGCCCGACACAGACCCCACCGCCCCAGAGGGCAGAAAGTGCAACGCCGTCAGCGGCTTGGTCAGGATTGATGCCCACATGCTAGCCACCTGTAAACCCTTTTTCCAAACCTTACCTTTTTGAAATCCTCATAGGTGAGCTCTCCATCGCCCTTGCCCCCGAGTCGCTCATAGAAAGCGCCCATTTCCAACATCGCCGTAGAAATCCGCTCCAGTAGCACAGGTGCCCCTGACGAGTAGCCCCAGATGACCCAGTGGAATCACCGCTGGTACCTACCTAAGGCTGATAATTTGATGGCAGCGAAACCTTCCTCGGGCGTGGTGTTGTGTACGGCATGCAAGGCTGTCTCGAAGATCTTCACTCGGGCATCACATCTGATGACAGCTTCCCTCACTACGTATTGGAACTCGTGGACCCAAGCGGAGTGCACCCCCATCTAGTCTTGATAGTCAACATGACCGAGAGTGAACCACAGTCCGATACGAACACACAAGTATTCGAAATTCAATAAGATCATAACTATCAAGACTTCAATTAATTTTACAGCGTTTACTATTTCATTTTCAACCACGCCATTACATCAACTCTAGCTGCTAATCCCAAGACTACACACCACACAAGCGTTATGAGAAACCCCATGTGCCGTATGTAGCACTCACTTCTTCTCCCCCTCGTAATCATATACCCTGGCATGCATGAAGTCCGTCCTGTCAGGAGCATCACCCATCGCGTCAGGCTTCTTAGACTGGGCCGAGAGCTCAGCTTCCGCGGCATAATCCAATATACCTGCACATGGAGAACAATGTGTACTATTTAAAAAATCTAATTCTTCTCACTCTCCAAGTTCGACAAACGCAAGCGCACATTCGAAAGTCTTGTTTTTCAATGATTCGAAACATGGCACACTCGCAATGGGAATTCACATGCTAGCCGAAATCAAACCCTCCTGATCGCCAAGTTAAAGAGTGAAAGAGCGTCCATGCAGTTCAATAGGTAAGGATGGATTACACTCATCCCCCTTCAAAGAAAGCAACCCTACGTGTCCACAATACCTCCTACTGGAGGGTTGATATGATAACGATATCAGTGTGGGGAAAAACGCACTATATCGGCGGTAAGAAGATTGCAAAGAAATTCTTGTTGGTTTTGGTACACGTTCAGCAAGTCTTATGCTCACTTGAACATCATACAGTTGAGTAAACCGAATATCTTTTTCCTCTACTCCCGACGGAGAACTAAGTGGGTTACCTCCAACACCAGCCTCGCGGAGCTTCTGCATCGTAGGGGCTATATCACGCTCATTCTCGCCAGCACAAAAGTGGGCGAAAAACGTCTTTTTCAATAGCCAATTAGTGATAGTGCTGCCCAGGACGGTCTGAGAAGTTTTATACCTGTCAGCGGAGCGAAGCATTTCATGAATATTCGAGATTTCAATGCTTACAGGAACTCCGCATTCCTCACAATAGAGTTGTATGTGCACATTTTGAGCACAACAAGCCCGCGAAATACCTCAGTCGTTGTTTTAGTATGGAAGGCGACCTCAGGGTTATCGAACCTCAGCTGAGATAACACGACTGATTACCATAAATCGCCCGAAACGTACTGGGCCTGGCCGGCCCGTAGAAAACCTCCTGACCGCACAGGAGGATGAGATTAGACTGTACGAGCATGCAATGCGGATGCGGTGGCTGCAGAGAAGTCCACCCAACATCACGATGGAGCCGAGGGGGCTCTCGGGGAGTAGTGGGGGAGTTCGGAAACTACAATGAGATGACCCCAGTGAATTGAAGGCTACATACGCAAGACCTGAGCACCGTGTGACATGTAAACACTCAACTGCACGCTACATCGTAGAGGCGCCTCATATCGCGCTCACGGTGATAGCTTTGACTATGAAAGATAAACTCAAACGACGCTCAGAACAGACTACTATACATCGTCACCTTGCCCGGTAGAAAATTCTACGCCAGGCTTCGGCGAACAACAGAGCTCTCTCCTCAACAACAGCTGGAGTTCCTGAAAATAAGGCAAGTTGTGTACTAAGCCAGAACATACAACTACAGTGCGATGAGGTGCACCAGGAGATACGAAAAGGGCGAGAGTACCATCATAACAGTTATACGAGTCATCTGCGTCGTAGGGCTACCGGAATAGAGTTTCCAGTGCCACTCGCACGTTATGCCATTTTCCACGACTTGCCTATCCAATGCGAATGCACTGTATGAAATGATCGCATATGCAAGCCAGAAAGTCTAGACACGAAATCGTACGAATTACGCTGATACTGTTTCTTGCGATACCACAACCGACTACACAGTGGAACACCTTCTCCAATGCACGCATGCGCAACCAGCAACAATTCTCTCCTCAACTACTCCCCTTCCCGCGCCTCACCCAGCATAGCGCTGTTCTCTTGAGCTCTGCGGATCAAATAGGGGACCACCTTAACAATAGGTCCATAGGGCACCAGCTTGCATCTGCTACAACACCCTCACCACTCGCCCTACCACCACAGGCGGCCCACACTGGATATCCCTCCTTCGCCAGAGTAAACGTTATAGGATCTGCCATACCATACAGTTGGGCGAACATCACGTTCTCTCGACGATCCACAGCACACTCGCCTAAGCGCCTGAGAAAACAGACCCAAGTCGTAAAGCTATACAAAGGCTGGAAATACGTGTGCAAAGGTAATTTTAGCTCTAAAGTACTGCTGTACAAAAGTTACATCACCACACATATTTTCGTTCTCTAGATTACGCGTGCTGTATGATGCCCCCCCACAGTGTGCACCAAAGTCAATACAGAGCTTACTCTATTATAGACCTAAACCCCTCCCACTATGGAGCTCTCTACTCCACCACACAAGACAACCCCTTGGGTACTCACTGGACAGCATATCTCACCGTCCCCGCGTTATGTGAGGCGATGATCATACTAGGTCTCGACGCGTGCTTCAGAAGATCCTCGATGCTCGAGTGGTAGGATGCCGTAGTAGCCTCATATGTGTCATGTATAGGAGACTCCCTGACACACCAGGCCTTCCCTAGAGGCTCACAAAGGGGTACCTCCTACCGGCCCTCCTTCTCAGCCAGGGCCCTCTCACTTACTATGTATGCACCTCTCACTACCTTACAGCCGAGTTTATATCCCTGATAACAGCACAGGGGGAAATTACCATTACTGAACGAGCCATTTCTGATCTCAGTCAACCCCAAGTCGGCAACAATTTAATGGCGCGCGAGAATTTCTCATGACCTTACCCTTCCTCACCTCTCGCTGGGCCATACGAAGATCCCGATGGACTCGGCGACGAGTGTTTTTCAAATACGTTTGGTACGTGTTGTACACTATCGCCCTAAAGACCAATTTCGTGGCGCGCGACAAATGCAGCATCTAGGTAGTCCAAGCACTCACCCCTTAGTATCGTCCCCATTATATTTCCTCATCATGCATGCCGCCATTCTATCGATCGCCGGCTGTATCTGAGCCCATCCCACGGGTCGTCCCAGCCGACCAAATGACCTCTGCTACAGCTGTCCACTCAGCGTCGATAAGAATCCTCACTCCTCCCTCATAGGCCGCCTTGCATGCCGCATCCACCCGATCATACATCGACCTAATGAGAATAGAATGTCCATCCTCCCACAGCGGTCCCACTCGTACTGTAATAGAGCAACCTCATCGTCACGCCTGTGTACGTTCATCTGAAAAACGATCTCAGAGTCGACCCCACAACGGAACGCAGTAGTATTGGAGTATACGTTTGCTTTCCTCAGCTGAACTCAGGACTTTCCTTACTCAGCCACGAATCCCGGTACAAGTGGACAGGAAACAACACCTTTTCCCAAAATTCCCTCACAACTCTCCTGTTTTCCCACACTCCGACCAAATAGAAGACACTCACGCGAGCACGTACTGATGCATCGAGTAATCTAGCCCTCCGCTACCTCCGACAACTCCATCACAGAAAAACTATTTATCCACTCGATTGGGTCGACCTTTCCATCGCCGTCGTCGTCCAGCTTGTCGAACCTCATTCGCATCTCCTCTTCCTCAACATCACCATGCATCTCAACCCATCCCTAACACCGCAGCAGCGGAATCACACTCGGGCAAAAGTCATACCACACCTCCTTCACTTCCTCATAGGATAGCGCACAGTCCGACCCACCACAGCGACTGGCATATAATGACTCGAGCTCCCTGATTCTATTGGACACTCTTTCTAGCACCACTGGTGGACCTGATACCAACCTCATCAACACTCCCGAGACCGCGAATCACCCATTGGAGAGATTTTCATAGCTACGATCCCCTTCCCTTCTACTGCACTGTTTACTGTAGAAATAGCAGCTTTCAAAAGATCCACTCGGGAATCGAATCTAAACACCACCCCAAGGCGTTCATCATCTCGTCGTTCTCATCCGCTGACCACCTCCTGCCCTCCTCGTGCCTTCCTAACACAGTAGGACCCGCCGTGCCACTACTCGACGCTACCACATGAGAGACCTCACCCTCGTCCACTGGGTCCAGTATAACTAACCACCATACACAACAACATCATCCAACACCACCCAGTTGCACTACCAGTCACCCCAGCCTCTTGCAAGCGTACCAGCTTAGGCTTGATATCCACCTCGTTCTCCCCCGCACAGAAATGCGCAAATAAAGTTCTTCTTAAAACGCCGTGAGTGATACCATCCCCCAGGATGCTCCGAGATCTCGCATACCTTCCACGAGATCGTACTATCCCAACTCCAGCACTTGCTGCCCTACAGCGCCTCAGCATTTCGAATAACGTAGTTGCAGGTGCACAGCTTGAGGACAAGCCACCCTCGGAGGACCTCTCCCGTCGACTTCCAGCGAAAAGATATCTTGGGGTCGTTCAAAGGCAACTAAGAGGGTCAATGCCAAGCTCCCTCTCCCCTACTCCCGAAAGGACTACTTCTTGCACCCTGTTAGTGCTGGTACAGAATGCCCTCATCACACGCTCGCATGAGACCAAGCAGGAAGCAGTGGGCCGACCGATTAGCATTCGTCGGCGACAAACAGCCCCCAGCATAGGGTAGCGCTACTGCAAGGCCGAATGAATCTACCATGAATCACTTCGTAGTACAGGGAATAGTGAACATATCCGTGTTGCATCCCCAAATAGAAAAGTATTAGAAATTGTCTTCCTCATTGAAGCACATAACTCAACACAGCAAATACAGTGAGAGGCAGAAGGCTCATTTGAGGGAAATATTATATTGTATAATAAAACAGTGTATAACATGTATAACAGGCTCTAAGGTGTCACAGGGAACTACTGGTGTCACCACCAGGTAGCGGGATTAGTCGTCGGATGAGAGGGAGATGAGAAGGTCGACTGCCTAAATAACTCGTCAGTAGTAGCAGACCCAGAAAGTAGACGTACTCGAAGTAGACCCCCAAACGTTCAAGGAGCGACATACTCCAACGACATCATCGCCCTTACAATATGAGCTTCTTAGCACGCCGTATATACGATTCTTGACATATCATCATAACTCGTCGAGCATGAAGAATATCAACGTGATTGAACTCCTCGAGAGCTTCAAGCTGAGATTTTCTGACATCCACATGCGCTGAGAAATTACGAGCAGTGGGCTCTTTCATCGCATCATCCTGTGCCGCCTACCCAATCACCTCCTCGAGCTCCATTGAGTAGTGTCCTACTACAGACTCGAAGGGCTTCAGGCCCTCAAGGGACTGGTCCCTCGAAGGTCCTACTACCCACATCCTATCACCAATGGGAGCTCTATTGAGGATGATAATATCAAGCACGGATCAGTGTATCACCACAGCGGTACCCTGCTCGTCTGATGGCACCGGAGAACATGCATATGCAGACTGGCAAAAACTTAAATGAAAACTTCGCTCCGCCAGCGGCCAGTACCAGTACATTGATAACAACTATGACGCGTTGTGAAACCCTTAGAAACCATTACGACGAAGTTGCCTGTTTCGTCGGACGAGTACTCGCAGTTCGGCTCCGATGTTGCCGACCATGCCGATGCAACATAACATCCTCTCCGTTCTCATCGACGGTTATGCTTTCTGGTGGCCCCACAGTACCCTGCCGGCTCACTCGACTCACCCTGAAAGGCAGTGCTCGCCTTCTACCAAAGTCCTCTGTGCTACTACATTTTCTTAGTCCTCCTGTCAGTCCATCGGTCCTCCTCATACGTTATAACATATTCCCATGCCTTGCCTCCTCCCCCAGTGGCCACTCGCAACTACCCCACGCCGTAAGCCGCGAGGACCACCTCAAAGTGCGACTCACCATCTCGACATTAACCAGGCACCGAGTGGGCATCCAGCCTTCCTCTAAACACCCTTCTTTATGACCGTACGCAAAACCGCACCCTAACGAATCCACAAAAGATATCTTGAAAATCTTCGCTGTGCGCAACCCTCCCTCACCTGCAATATCCCACAGGCAGTCCTTCACATAGACGTAATCATGTTCAGCAATCTGATCACTAATAGTGATACCGTAACACAGCCACTTCAAGAGCTCACCTCTATACCAGAAGCCTCACGTTCTGTTGGGGAGTAGGCTGCCACCACGATGCACAGCCTGTCAAAGGCCAACTCACGGTACTTCGCTACGGCCTCGGAGGAGCTCGTCATTGACCCCGTGTTCTGCAGTCTGGCCAAATCTGAAATCTTCCCGCTGCGCACTAGTATCCTATAACGACACCTTACACTGTCGTGCCACAACAGGGTAGTTGACCGCAGTAGCCGACTTGTGGCGCGCCAAGAGGACACTATCTGACAAAGGAGACGCTACCATCGAGATCTCTCACCCAATTATAGTGACAGCCAGTACGACGAATAGAAAAAGTTGGAATCGATCAACGTCAAACGTCCTTCTTACCGCTATTGATCCAGCCCCACACCTTCTTCTGGGAGCTGTTCGAAGCCGTCACATCCTCCATGAACCACATGTTGGGCTTACTCGACTCGCTGTAGTGGTAGCGGTAGACTCGGCCCGTATGGCTGAAGAGCAAGATGCCCTAAAGGCGGTCATCGCTAAGGGCCGGCAGTACACGTTAAGGTGGTTGTATTGAGTGGCCTTTGCGATGTTGAGGGCAACGAAGAGCTGCTTGGGCTTTACCCATTCGTTCGAGGAGTCGTCGATTTCTACCAGGTAGTGGTCCGGCACGATGATACCTGAGATAAGCCCCTGCGGCCCCTCAAGGTCTACCACTCCCCACACGTCCCGTCCTCCTTCTCCACGAGGCAACTCCAAACTCGATCAGTGGTGTTGGGCGATACTGTGGAGACCTGCAGAAGGAAGATACTATCGAGGGCTAGTGGTGACACGATGAGACCTGAGCCGTCTCCCCAAAATGCAGTCCCCCTTCGCCATCAGTACCGTTAAATTCGCGAATACCTACACAGTTACCACAATGACCCCTTGAGGGAGGAGGAGCAGCCGACATGCTATTTTGGAGTTCTCTGACACTAGACAGCTCCGATGGGTTAAATCGACTTTAGGGGGCAGCTTGGACGGTGGCAATCTACTCGTCATTTTATAAAGAACCAATCTCAAGGGGATAATCACCGTATCATCCATATCACTTCATAACAAACATTCCTTGTAACTTAGAGATTGCACGTCCCTTGAGAACCTTACGTAAGGACCTTGGAGTCCATACTTCAAGGAATCCGGCCCTTCAACGGCCCTTTGCAAACTTAATTACAAGGGGGCGATCCTTTCTTAAGGAAATGCTCCTGAGCTATACCGCCAATATCAGAACTCATATTTAGGCAAGAACCCTTCTCAGATACTTGAAAACCGGTGAGAAAAAGTCGACTCATTTTGCGCTCTTCAGAATTCATCTTCGAGCATCGCTCCGCCTTGGTGCGTGCGTGCAGAGAAGTCTGCTTCTTTTCACTGTTCGCAATCGCCGGTTCGCATCCCACGGCTCATAGGTCACTCTAGTCACAACATCATCGTCTCCTGGAGCATTCGGGATAGCATTTTTGTGATGAACCACGATACACGCCAGAACACAGAGGATTCCATAGGTAGCTCTTGGTCTGGTCTCGAGGAGAGAGAGAACCTCAGTAGTTCGGTCATCTGCCAGACCTTCGGGAACGTACACACACCAACGCTGACCGGCTGAGGCAATATCGGCATCTTTATGGTGGTCTACGCACCCAGTCGCCGTCGAAGTGGGTTACCATCTACTACTAAGCCGCTGCTTCTCACGACGTCTATGACAGGAGGAGAGGCACTCGCGATGCCACGAAGGCCCCAATACGGCGAAGGGGCCGGCCGAGGGCTGACAGCGTGACGAGCAATCAGTTCGACGCAGACAGGGCCTTACTCGTCTTCAACGCCCCTAGCTACTACAAGGTACACACCTTCCTCGACTTGGTAAGGCACCTTGATATAGGACCATATGAGGTTTCTCACGGAGCACGTAGAGAACTTCGAGACGGGTACGGCGGGGCCGACTAACGTGAAGCTGGCAGCTGTACTAGGGCAGTCCATGGCATTCATGAACGCCGCTTTGGATGCTCAAGCCACAGTACGCTCGAAAGCCTCGTGGTTCATCGAGGTCCCTCTCAGCCCACCCTACTCGGGGACGAGACCTTGTCCAGTGCCCGTGCTGCTGTGAAGAGCGGCTTACCGAGGTAGGTCGTCTTAGGCGTCACTTGGGTATCGTCGCGATACCAGGTTCAAGGCCGCTATGGACCATATCGGCCGACTGAAGGGTGAGCCAGACTGGACTACTGCCGAGCTTGAGATCTCCTAGGAACGGTTCGGAGGAGGAAGGCCTATACCTGTCTACGTCTCCTCTACGACAAGCTTACCCGCTTCGCAGCGGCTCAGCCGTATAGTGGCATCAATCGCATCAGAGGGCGAAAATCGGTGAAGTACCAGACGGACCAATTCGCGATAAAAGTACAAGTCGGGTTTCATTTCAATGGAGCCCTCTTCTTGTCCAGTCCCTGCTCAGCGAGCCAATGGAGGCCACCACCAGTCAGGTCTCAGATGATGTAGCCGAGGAGGTGATTACTCATCTTGTGAAGGCATTTGGGCTGCCCTACAATCTCATGTGCGATGCTGAGGAGGTCGTCAGACGAGCGTAAGGCGTAGGTAGACCGGTTTGGTGGCAGCGGTAGGTCTACAGGTATGGCTATCGTTCTGAGGAGAACTATAAGGCGGCTATAGAGCGGATACTGTCCAAGTGGGCTGGCATGGACCAAAGGGAGCGGGTGAGTTGTCGTGACCAGAGGGGGGACACCAGACTGTTGTTAGTGCCGATTCAATGCAAGGCTGATAGACTCTCCTCAGCGTATCATAAGGTTGGCTATGCGATATTAGGATTCTTGCACTATGGCAGTCTTTCTTCTCTATGCACAGAGTCGAGTCGATGTGGTTACGATGTTCGTTGTCGTGGTCGTCGTCAGGCTTTGGGTAAATGGCAACAGCTCCCTTTGGCTCCTCTTCCTCGGAGGCCCCACTGCCTCCACCTGGGGAATTACTGTTGATGGTAGACGACTTGGTGGAGCGTTACGACCTAGATAGGAGCTGTGACAGTGCTCTACGTTGTAGTGCTAGTGCGCGGGGCTGCTTTGATATTCTCACCAACGTCCACAGTCTGCAACTGGACCGAGCCGAGAACCCGTCCGCCCGCGTTATTAGGGAGCTTGGCAAGGCCGGTGCCCTGATTCATGGTCCTGAGGGCAGCAAGTCTCCCAAGAGTGGGATCGTCACCTGGTTGGACCGCATCACCGACCGAGACAGACTTCGGGCTATATCAGAGCTAAGTGTGGCAATGATAATGGTGATGATAGATGAGTTCTGTGAGGAGTATAAGCTCGACTACGCATGCCAGAAGACGCTGAAGTTCGCAGTACCGTGCACCGAGGTGGCCAGCATTATCTATAATATGACGGCGAGAGACCACACATTGCTGAAGGCCAGTCACAACCCCAGCGCCTACGTTATGAAGGAGCTCAGAGGGAAGACAGTTACTCGTGAGAGGCCGTCGTCAATGCAAGAGCCTTACCAACCTGGAAGGCCCCTCCTCCGCCCTTTACCTACTCGGGAGAGGTCTCGAAGCCCTCCGGGCCGAGGGCCACCAACAGGTTTTGATGTCGCTGGCCCGACAGGAGGCGGTCGGTTTGGCCCTGAACGTAATGACAGGTTTTCGACTAGAGGACCTCCTCTGCAGTCGTACAGTTCAAGCGGGCCTTATTCCGGCAAGGGCAGTGGTAAGGGTGGTGGTGGTAAGGGGAACGGCAAGGGCAAGGGCAACGGCCCGCCGTTCATGGCGGGGACAGCAAATCCCTATGGAGTTCGTGGCCCCTCTGCCCCCGCTCCTCGTCGACCCGGTGGACGTTGGAGTTGAGGAATAATAAGTTGGCGATATATGATTTCAGTTCTCCGGTGCTATTTATCTGTCATTGGGTCGTGTTCACTCGTGAGCGGTATTGATTCATTCGTCGTTTGTTCTTAGTGGCCACCTGCCCGTTGTTTTCGACACTTAGCGTCCCCCCTGCCTTCTTACGAAATGGTGGCCCAGTTTACGACGGAGCCGCCATCGAACTACTACCAATACGCGAACGAGACGCCGCCCGCTGGTGCCCTCCTAGTGGCAATAGATGAGTTCGTAGACAAGCACCAGATAGGCCAGACCGGTGACGACATGTTGAGGTAGCGGCAGCCTACCTCCCTTGCCGACTACCTTAAGGGTACTCCTATTAGGTGCTCTATTCCCGCCCATTCCTGTTGGGAACTCGTCCTGTCGGATCACTCAAACCTCAGCGATCTCGATGCAGCCCAAAACGCTACCGGCCGACTCGTTTCTGAACTGTCCACGAAAAAGTAGGAATTTCGTGGTGCGCGACATTTTGACAATTTTTTCAGAGTCCTCATGCATGGTACCGGTGGGAACAAATCGCCCAAACAAGGCTTCGTCGCTTGGCTGAAAGAGATCTCTGATGTAGGCTTGGCGCGATTAGTATTGGTTAAGACGTATACCGCACCTTTGGAACTTGTTGTTTTGATTTCAGCGAGATCGCGGCCGCGCAATGGCAGACATGAGCGTGGTGATGATAATGGTCATGATCGATGAGTTCTGTCAAGAATACGGTCTCGACGAGGCGTGCGAGAAGTTTCTCAAGTTCGAAGTCCCTATTGCCTTATCGGTGCCCTTCATTTTTCATCATAGCGCTGTCGACCGATCGCGCATCGAAACGGCCCGTAACGCAAGTAGCGTCGTGACTGCTGCTGTGAAGGAGCTCCTCATCCCTCACAGATGGCCTGCTGGTAAAGGCGGCAAGGGGAGCGGGAAAGGGAAGGGCAAGGGGAAGGGCTCGCACGAGTCTCCCAGGCCTGGCCGCTTCAGATCGGTCAACAAAGGGCCGGGTTGCGACAGTTCGCTAGATAGAGCATCTAGTCGTATATGGTCATTCCTAGAGGAACAAGGAGCCCCCGATAAGGTCCGGGACATCCTCCTCTCTGGCTGCTCGGCAGCTTGGGCCCTCGAGGCGGTCCGGAACGCTTCGACATGGGAAGAGGCTCGGGACATCGCTCTGGGCAAGGAGCAAGAGTTCTCGTCATTGCCATCGATTACAGTGCTCGAGAACGGTGTGACCTCCTGGGTCCAGCGGGCTACTGTAGACGGGAGGGTAGGTGATCTCTTGCGGAGGTTGCTGTCTATGGCAGACCTGGACGATGTATTGGCGGGCCGCGTGCCTTCTCTTGAGGCTGATAGTCTCGCTGCTGGTGCTAGGGATGGGACCTTCCGGAACGTATCGGCCTTCGCTAACGCTCAAATTCGGAGAATCGTAGAGAGCGCGACAGATGAGTATGGTGTTGGTGCGCCCAGGAGGCGGAGTAGATCCCGCAGCCCTCGACGGAGTGAGTGGGCAGGGGATCACAGTTGGGAGAGCGGCCCTGAACAGTATAGTAACTGGCAGCATACCGGCTGGCAACAACAGTCGAGCTTCCAGGGCGGCGGATGGTCCCAGAGTGGCCCTCAGGGGTACCAGCAGAGGCAAGGGTATGGCGGAGGCTGGTCGGGCGAGCGGTGGTGAAGAGCCTTAGTGCCTATCGAAGTCGAGCGTCGGAGCTATACTGAATGCTGATTACATTTCCACACTGCATCTCTGTTGTTGAGTGGCAATAGTAGTGAATCTGGAAAGAGAGCGGTAGTGTTGGACTGTAGTTTTGTAAAGCCATTATGGCGGCATACGTCAATAGGCTACGGAATAGTATCAGGGCCTTCCTCAAGCACCATTATGGCCATCTACACTACAAGCTAGGTCAATTTATGAGGACCCTCGCGGAACTCAAAGAGGACAACCCCGGAATGCTGGCTATTATAATGACGATTCTCACGGTACTGAGCTGCGTATTTTTTCGCAGTGTGGGAAAATATGCAGTATGATAAATCTGAGAAAATTTTCGAAAATTCTCATTGATTCCCGTAAAGTCTTATCCGGATCCATATGTGAACTCCTATAGTTAGTGAGGAAACTCCTAAGATCAGCTGAGGAAAGCTGACATATATATTCCTCCAACGCTGCACTTTCGTATCGGACGTATTCAATGGTTGTGTGCGAGTTTTTGCCAGGGCTGTTGGGTTCAGGTACTTGTTATAAATTTCCTATTTATCGCGTGGTTGGTGAGTAAATTTATTCCTCTCTGGCTTACTCTACTGCTACAGCTCGTTGCCCTATGGGGCATCGTCAAGTACTCCTACTACTGTCTCGATGACCCCACATGGATATCTGCCAGGTTTGTGGCATTAACTGCGGTTTTCCCAGGCGGTAACTTCTTGTGGAGGCGGAGGATCGAGGGTCTATATTGTAGTATTTGCGTCGCTCCGCTAGACAATATGGCAGCTTATTTTAGGTGAACAATTTGCTGATCAGTGTACCTCCTACTTTGATGACCTTCGGGCCTTCCTGGACAACCGGTAGCAGCTGGGTGGCGCCTTTCAGCCTGAATATCATGAAGTTAGTTCTGTGATTATGCAGCTTGGGACAACATTCGATAAACGCTCTGACTAGAATTACTATCAATCACGATCGTCCTCACTCTAGGTGTTCTCGACCGGAGCAAGCTCAAGGCCCCCAAGCCGCAGTCTTCATGGTCGAGGGTCTGCTGCGGAATTATGACGACCAGAGCAAGATCCTAGGGGTAGTAACTTTCCGACGACGAGCTCGGTGGGTCGAGCGCGCTGTGTAGGTGGTCCTTACAGAAAACCAGCGAGAGCTACGGGACTCACTCGAGGAGCTGCATCACTGGATGAAGGCGACTAAGCTCGACTTGGGCGGGCTGAAAAAGATGTCCTTCCGAGAGTAGTGATAACAAGGGGGCACTGCCGTTGTTACCGTAACCTACGCTTGACGCACTGCAAAGATTCGATGGTTATGTTCATATGAATTTACGCAATAGTGAAAGCCTTCCAACGGTTTTGATAGACTTTATAACAAATCGTTGATTTGGGCTGCATAGACTGCAATGGTGAAGCACATATGTTCATGACAATATGAAAATCCTGAGGAAATTTGGGAGAAAATTGTCATTGATTCCTGTACATTCCTACACGGATTCGTATATTTACTCTCAAGGTCAGCTGCGAAAAAGGAATAAATTTTTCAACACTGATAGACTGGATGAAAGTGTTGCCTGAAATTGTTGGTATCAGTTACATGTGCCGTGGAGAGTTTTCCCACCATTGGGTGCAGTTCGATAAATCCAAGCACAAGCTGGAAGTCCCAATGAAGGCCCTTCTGGAATGCGACAAGTAAGTTAACAGCGGAGCGATGCATTTTTATATATCTCATGGTCCCTTTAGGTTACTCGGGGAGGACGAGTCGAACGGTCTGGTTCAGAATTTCCGCAACTTTTGTCGCCCTCAAATCCTCGGCAGTCTGCATCATTTGAAGAGCGAGCTCATCAACAGGTTAGCCGCCTGGTCCTTCTCACGTCCATCAACCCTTAGGTACGGCGCAAGAGCTTTCACTGTCGACCGCTTGGATGGAGTCTACGTGCCGTCTTATCGTCAACAGAGTCTTCCTGCTGACAACCCGGAGTCTGGAGGGTCCCTATTGGAGACTAAGGTAGGGGACTGAGAATGCCCGTGAACTGACAGACCTCGACAGGTCATCGTTTGGTGCAATCCTAATGCTGCTTACTACGAGTGTGCGGTATACCAGTCGGAATGGCTCGAATTTTACCTTGGCCTTGGCTACGGTATCATCCTATGGAACTATAGGGGTTTTGGTGACTCCAAAGGTACTCTGCCACGCTCGGCTATCGGCAATGTTGGAACATATGTTCGCCTTCCTCAGCTCGCGAGCTTACTCACAAACTATGGAAAGTTGCACATGACTTCGAGTAGAAGTCTACAGAAACTAATTTCCTTTTTGTGAGAATTCCCCGAAAGTCATCATAATTTCCATATTGTCACCAACACATGTAGTTCAGCATGTGCGTATTTTCCCATACTAATTGTCTGTAGCCTTGGTGATATCAATCTAAGCTCTACTTTGTTCCCGACCGCATGGGCTGATGGTCCTGTGTAGGTTTCTGCACGCCTGGGTGTCTGTACACCGACAGTGAGGCTATCATGCAGTGGGTGGCGGCTCAAGGGGCTAAGAGAGGCCATGACTTTGTCCAGAGGGTTGGGGTAAAACTTCCGGGTGTTGGGATCGAACCTGTGCGGGTGGTTCAGCCCGTGTTTAGGTCCATGGGAGGTCTGTTGGAGGAGTAACGGCATGTCATCTGGGCAAAGTTTACGACCGTCCACGACCCGGCCTGAGACTGGACTTCGTCGTGGCCGACAGGACCTTTCGAACCCTCGAGGCTACCGCTCGGTAATTACTATTATCATCATCATCTGATCAACCTCGGTGAGTTAGGTCAACGGTGGGCCACTGGGCCGCATTAGCGTTGCGTCTCACCGGGATTGCTGCTGATAACGTTGGCACCTTCCTCTCGATCCGCAACACTCCGAAGATCCTCATGTGTGACCCCCAAGACACCATTATTCCCGAGGATGCCAATCTACGGACAGGCGCTGCGGCTAGGTTGGTGGTAGTCTACACCATTAGCATATTGAGAGGTCTTTCTATCAGCAGACTCGTCGCTGACCTCCCTCCAGAGCTTCGTCTCTCATCGATCTCTCGGCACACCCTGTATGAGGTAGTTCCTTGACTGCTGCTCCTCGCCTTTGCCTCTACCCTTCCTTCAAGGCATCATTGGCCCTAGCCTATCTCCCACGCTTCCTGTCCCTCATCGGCGTCATTGCAGACGGCGGGGATGGCGATAGCAGTAGTATCGAGGAGCTCCTCTTCATCCTCGGCTTATCAAGGGATGCCCAGGCCAGCAGCCTGGTAGGCTTGGAAGTAGTGCAGTCACACCACTGCCATGTCGATGGTCCCCGATACGATCAGGGCCCCCATTCTCGGTCGGACAGCACATCCTCAGAAGCTCCGGCCTCCCATCCGCGGGTCGAGGTCCGTGCGAACGGTCGGTATATAGAGCTCCAGGAGCTCGGGGCGAGCGCTACTAGCAGCGATGGGTGACCAATATTGTCTTGGTATATGATGAGGTCCATCCTACCTGTAGGTCACCCGCAAGCGTCCGTTCCCACGGAGGGCCGGCGATGGACGCTCCTGGCTCTCCTCAGCTGGTCGAGCATGGCCGATCTATCGGTAGGGCTCAGTGGCTGCCTATCATACCACTCCCTCGGCTAATCGCAACCTCCGACGATCTGTTGTGATTCAGAGATGTCCAGTGTCGAGCCTGTCGACACCCCAGCCCTCGATACCTACTCAATAGAAGAGCTCATCACCAGCATTGCGCCCTATCTGGCTGACCTCAAGCGCTTGTTCGATCTCGTAGCCTCCTCGTTCACACACCTCCTCGGTGGCCACGCCCTCGCCTTGCAGATACAGACCAAACTCGAGGCCGGAGGGCAGCCCCTAGCGGACGTCGGTACCAAGGACCTCCCCGACTACCGAGGCGTCTCAGTAGAGCACTGGCCGCTAACTGAGTGGATCGACAAGATGCAGGTATTGCCATCGCGGCTGACCATCACCATCGCCAGTGTGGTTCTAGGTGTGGGGTAGTGTGGTACCCATTGAGGAGGATGCGTTCACCTCAAGATTCAGAGCTTGCCCTCATTACCCCCGTGTGGCCCAAGAATACGCTAAGGAGACATCGCGGATTAGCCAAGCCTTGTACGGCGACACTGGAGTTGACGCGGTACAGTTGATCGATTACCATGGAGGAATCGGATGGTGATTATGACAGATGAGCATCGACCCCTTCGCCCTCCTGCGGTGGCATAGGCTGCAGTCGAACTTGTCCGTATCCACATTTGCCGACCACTTCTCGTACACACTGTCGAAGATGCGGTCAGCAGTGGAAGCAGCTCAGAGTGCTTCGGGTAGGCCTTTCCTATGAACCAGTTATTGCATCCTTCCTCAGGCCGCACCCCAGCCCCAGTGATGGCGGCTCTGTGGGCAGCGGTGTCCATTGACAACTTCCTGCGGGAGTTGAGGCACGGCTTTGATCGTGAGAAGTGCTCTAACGTGACGGATGCTGTGACCAGGTAAGTGATCGCTGCCCGATTTTATGTTCACTGGTTTCGTTGTCAGTCCTTCCGCTACTTCTTACACCATGTGTTCCTGCGTCTGCTCGGACCCTGAGGTTGTCTTGTCTCCGGACCACCACAGCCTAGCAGTCTATGATTTCCCTATGAAGACGGGCGATTGCTGGTGTGTACATGTCCACTGTGGACACAATGAGGCATTATCCAAAGTTGAAGAGAGGGAGCTCAGGATGCACATAAGATACGCCTTATCGATCACCGCCGCGGACGATGAGCACCAGGCCGGGTCGGCTCTGGCGGAGTAGTTCCTCCCATTTCCTGTCGTGAGCAGTTAATTGCTGTTACATTCACTGTTCGCGCTGGTTTCGTGTTGTTGGAGGGATGTGACCTTGTCGTGTCAGTGCCGTGCATTGTTATGCTAGGGAGTACCTCTGTGTCGGCATTTGGTCGAGAGCGACAGAACAGGGCTCAGTCGGTGCTGGCAGACCTGGTAGATGCTTTTATTCCTCCAACGCTAGATCTGGGCTATGCGGAACGGTCCAAAATCATTCAGTAGCTCCACGAGTGTGACAAGCGATATGATTACGAATAGGTTCGCTCGCTACCATCTCACCTTCCACAGCTTCCCCTCGGTAGACCCCTTAGCAGTGGACAGGGACATGCGAGGGTAGGCCGGCCCCTTGGTTGTGGCAGCGAAACCTTCTTCCTCATCAGTGTCATATCTAAAGTGGACACTAGAACGACGCCTGTGGGCAGCGCAGAGATGTTGGCTGAACTGTATGGAAAGGAGATGCCTAGGACAGCAGTAGCGGCTGGACTCACTGATGATGGAGATGAGGTTCGGAATTCCACTGAGCTTCGCTCCGCTAGAAAATTTCATCTTGTTGTCAGTTCATATTGCCGTCAATACTGTCATTGCTGCTGAGCTTATCTGGGGACCCCTGTGGGGTGGAGCGTTCCGTAGTGAATCGAGTTACTCAGGAGCTACAACATGAGCGTGCCGAGGTCGGTCATCCAACGACCACGCAATAGTGTATCCCCCTCTCCCTTCAGAATGCTGCTCGCTACGACCACCTCGGGCGTCTGCGAGAAGGACTAGAGGGGAAGCGCATGCTTGAAGCCATTGTGAAGGCCAGTGTTGAGACCGGTTGGGAGCTGGCCATGGCCGCCTGTGACTCCAGTTCTGATGAGGAGCATCTCGACAAGAGCATATCGACCCACTCTGGAGGGTCGACCCCTCCGCCCTTCGACCTGCCTGTCCTCGATCCGCTTTGGGCGAGGGCTGGCGTGGTGCCTGTCGTCGAGGAGGAATCCATAAAGTGTGCGGATGACCTCACTCGGGAATGTTGGTCATCCCTGCTCACTGTGGAGTCGACGGGCCATCTTCCAGAAGATCTCCTGGTTGCCAACGCCGACATCATAGCAGCCATTGTCTCTTCGGACCACGGTCGTAGGCGCCCTCTCATCGTTAGTGAACGCTTCGTAGTCGAAGAGGTCTTCACGGCATGCTATGCCCTGTGCACATCCCCTGTAGAGGAGGGCTCCATCGTTTGCCTCAATACCCTATTCTACATCTCTGAAGGGGTCGTCAGTGTCCACGCAGCGATCACTAGAGGGGATCGTGTTGCTTGTGCCCACCTATCCCCAAGGGCCCTCACATCGGCATTGGCCAGCGTCGCCAGGATCATGACCGACCTCCTGGCTCTGACTACATTGGAGTACCTTCCTCCTCGGTACGACCATCGTCGATCCTTCTTGAGCGTCCAAGCTGAGGTCAACTCCCTCGTCCAGGAGTTCGTAGGAGGGTTGGAAGCGATGGAGGAGGAGTACTCAGTCTCGGAGGTGGCGTGCAGTCTGGTGGCCATCACATGTGCTCTAAGGCGGCTAGCGAGACCTGTCAATAGGGCGGCCCTTGCCCTCAGTGGTCAGGGCCTCCTGATCACTTGCCTGTGGTACCGTCGCCGTGCGGGTTGCAAGGTCGCTGACAGGCTCTACCAGGCCTACACGGACCCGCTCCTTTCGGCTGCCCGATCTCTGGCCTGCAAGGGCACGATACTCGGTGACCATCTAAACGGCACCAAGGAGATGGTCACTGTCCTCGAGACCATCGCAGCAGACCCTGGCCATCCACTTCAAGTGATCATGACGAGAACTTTGAGCATTCACTCCTCCGTGCCCACAGGGTGGGCCGTACAAGGCTACGATGATTGTGCGAAACTCATGGGCCTTTCCAGCGAGACTAGACTTTTGCTAGAGCACCGCCTTGCCTCTCGGTCAGCTGGCAGTCACGCCGTTCGAGACCTCCTCAGTCGAGGAGGAGGCGACGAGCCGCCGTTGAACGCCATTTTCAAGGCCTTACTGATGGTGTGCATGGCATTCGACGAACATGTCCAGGAATGGCTAGGGGATCCTGGCCCTCGAGGTCCCGTCTGGGCTTCCCGATACCACGCCTGGGTGAAGCCGCATGTGATGGACGTTACTGGCGTTGACATCGACATTGACGCTCTCGGCGGTACCGGAGTGCGGCTGCCTACGCTAACCTCCCAGCAGGCCGCCGTTCTGACCCCTCTGGCCCTACAGTTCTACTCTAAAGTGTTTGATGTGATGAAAGCGCTGTATGAGGCCCAGGCTTGCATCGTGACCAAACCTCGATGCCCTCACTCTGGTGTACTCAAACACCTCTTTGCCGTGCGAGCAGAGCTCCTTCATTTCGTCCGAACCCTTGAGTGCTATCTAAAGCAGTCGGTGATCGAGCCAGAATCGCGTCGCTTCGCCTCCCTAGCAGCCGACGTGGACAGCCTAGAGGCCCTCAGCCACCTACATTTCCACGACTACCTACATGGCAGACTGGCCCGGTCCTTGTTCATGTCCCCTCGGACTGCGGTAGGCCGCCACTGCCTGATCTTAACTAGCTGTCGCTCAGGTCGTTCGTGATGCGCTGCTGGCAATGCTCCTCGTGTGCAAGAGCTATCGAGCTATTGCGGAGAAGGCCGCGCACCTTTCCCCTCCTAGTGAGGGCCTCGAGCCTATGGTTCATACAGATACCGACTCGGTCCAAGAAGGGACATGCGACTCTGTCTCGTCGTTCGACGCGTCCGTCGAGTCCTATCCCTGTAGTCGAGGGACCGCCACGACCGACCAGTGGACGGAGGATGAGAGTACTTCCGCTGTTTGTGCAACAGAACCCTTCCCCGAAATTCCTCCCAGGCGATCCGATACAACTGCTATCAGAACTCACAGACCTACGCCGGAGCTTCAAATCGAGCTGTCGTGGCCTCCTAAACGTTCTCGCAGTCGCGGCCAAAGACGACCGTTCAGTGTGCCACGACCTGGCCATGCGAATTAACTATGCCCACTACTATTCGCCACCACGCTAGTTTCACCCATGCCAGCCTCTCGTTGGTCCTTTCGAGTGCTCTTTTCGTACAGGGGTCGACCCTTTGTTTGACTTTCATGTGCCCCGACGTAACACAGACCATCATGACCACACCAAATGCGGCGCTGAAGCGGGCCTATATAGCCCTGGGCAGCAACATGGGCAAACGTGCTCAGAATATTCACCAAGCCCTCCGATGCATATCTTCCAACGATTTGGGTAAGCATGATTGTGTTCGAAGATCGAAATCTTTAGAATCGCGCGCACGCTGAAGGTTTCCTGGTGGTTTCGTCTCAGGTGTGGTATCGGACACGTCGTTCCTGTACCAGACGAAGGCCCAGTATGTCACAGACCAGCCGAATTTCCTCAATTGCGTGCTGTCTCTGGACACACCTTTACCTCCCCATGAATTGCTCGCTAGGCTCAACGCAATCGAGGCCTAAATGGGCAGGGTGGGTCCCCCGCGCTCCTTCCTAGTTTGGTAGCGTCCTGCACACGCGATGTGAACTATCTCGTCGTGGACGTCAAATGACCAGTACTCTCTGTTAAAAGGTACGAACACTCCGCTACGGCCCGCGGCCAATAGACTTGGACATACTCCTCTATGGCGATGAAGTCGTGGATGCCCCTGACTTGAAAATACCCCACGAGCGAATGCACGAGCGAGATTTCGTCCTAGCCCCATTGACGGATGTGCTATCGGCCCAGTGGAACCATCCGACCCTCGATAGGAGCTTGGGTCAATTGTGCGGCGCGTTGCGGACTATGGATCAGTGTCACAGAGTCCTCCCTGTGGGGGACGACCAACTACTAGACTGGGACGCGGGGAGGACCTTCATAATAGGTGTACTCAACGTCACTCCAGACTCCTTCTCGGATGGTGGTCTTTACACCACCGTGGAAAAGGCAGTGAAACACGCGAGGACGCTGATCGAGAGTGGTGCTGATATCGTCGACATTGGCGGGGAGTCGACCCGTCCGGGTGTCGATAGCTTGAAGGCTCTGGACGTTGGTGAGGAACAGGCGAGGGTCTTGCCCATTATCAAGGCCATTCGAAAGGATCTCGGTGACTCGGTTCTGTTGAGTGTTGATACACGCAATGCCAGTACGGCTCGGAGGGCAGTAGAGGCGGGGGCTGATATGGTCAACGACGTCTGGGGTGGCGTTTGGGATTCGGAAATGCTGGCCACCGTGGCGGAGCTTGGCGTACCGTACGTCTGCATGCATATGCGGCCACATGGGCAGGAGAAGTATCCTAATGGAGTTGTCAGGGAAGTCCATGAGGTCCTTACTACACAAGTCAAGGCTGCGATGAGGGCTGGCGTTCCCCGTTGGAACATCATTGTCGATACCGGACTCGGTTTCGGTAAGTTATCCAACCACAATTTCCAGTTATTACGGTATTACAAGGAGGCCTTGCCCACTACTCTCTCTGGAGTGCCCTGGCCCTCACTCAGTGGTCCGTCGCGAAAGAGGTTCGTTACGGACCGAAGTGATCCTCCCGAAGACATCTGGGACATGGCGGCGTTTGGTACGGGCGCTGCTGTTGTCGCGTCTATCGAGAAGGGCGCCAACATAGTCAGAGTTCATGACGTCAAGAAGATGCAGAGGGTGTGCATGGTGGCGGACAAGGTGTACAGAGTCTCCGATGAGGAGATTGAAGCTGAATAGAGGCTCGGAAGTTTTTACCCATTTTCGGCTACACATTGCGGCCCTGCGTAAATGTCTACTTTTCTTCTCCCGACTCTGGATTTTGTTATTAATGTACTCGATACGCATTAGAATCAGCCTGGAGAGTGCCGAACAAAACACGAATCATATGAACGCTGCTTTGGACAACATCTTCCTTATTGTGCCTTTCACTCGCTCGACTCACAACACGAATGCAAGGAAGAAAATCACCCACTGCCTTCAGCGACATCCTTTCTTCTACTTTCCGCTATCAACATATATCGATATCAACTCTACTACTCCCTAAGCTAACATAACCAAGTCACTAGCCGTGTACGTGAGAAACTATAACTGCCATAACGGCTTTCAAAAAATAGACCTCTCATCATTCCGCTCTCTCGACCGCCGGTGTTCCTCTCCGGACGAAACCCTGGGCCTTCACGAGAAGGACCACTACAAATGCTGCTATCAAAAGCACTCCGATCCACTTGCCCTGAGGACGAGACCGGTGTGTCAAAAAATCATCACAAGTTTGACTTTACCAAATTCTTAGTAACTGGTGCCTCGTTATATAAGTTGTCCGGTACGGACAGGAACTCTATGTGCTTCTCCGGGATACTCACAGTAGCCTCCTCCTCACTTGCCTTGGTCGGTGGACGAGGCACGAGCTCTTCATTCTGACACGCGCTCATCCACTCTGTGCGACAAAGCAATCACCAGTATTACATCATCAAATTCCCCAACTATCTCGGTCTTGCGAATCTTAGTCAACCTCGGAAAATTTTTCTGCAGGTACTCCTCTCCCTTGCTATGGATTTCACCTGTACACGTAAGCGTTGCATGGTCCACAAACAGTAGCCCAGTCGAATCGCAACGACTATGGCGACGCACTAAAGCCTTATCAAATTTCACCTTGATCCGGTTTCTCCCCATATTCCTTGTTAATTTGGTCAACAATCGTCATCCCATCAATCACCTTAGCGACAGGTGAGAAGCCCATAGAATTCAAGAACGTATTATCAGCCAGCTGAAATCGATGACGACGACGGGCGAATTTCGATCACAACATCGGAGCAATCTTATTACATTGATGAACATCTGAGTCGTCCTGGAGTTAGGTCCCGAAGAAGCGAAGGAAATCGACCCTCTCTTGTTGGACTCTACGACCGGGTCATCGTCTATGGGGGCAAACTTCCCTCGTCTGGATGGGTCAGCAGGCAATCCCCACTGCGCAACACTGAATAGAGGAGCTCACACGATCTCCAGTGTTATGAACTCGAAATACGCCGGAACGTAGGAGACCATCCCTCACTATACTCACAAGCCCTCCACAACTCTGAAGAAGCGAGCCTCATCATAGTAGCC